CCTAAGGGCCACCTTAGCAAAGCGCATCCCAGGCTGCATAGCCGCACTACCCTACCCAACCATACCACACATAAACATGACACTACCCCCGGGGTTTACACAGACGAGCCGGCGAAGCAAGAAGAGCGCCAGAAGAAAGGGCCCTAGCCGGCGGGGCCCAGCCAGGACAAAAGGAGGTCCCACAAAGCGCCTACACCGGCCGCATTTGCGGTCGGGGTAGACGACGGATGGGGCCCACCTACGAAGGCTGTCCGGGCCTACACGAGATGTGGCAGGATAAAGAGGGATAATCCCCCTCGATCCCAAATCATTGAGGCCAATTTCTAGCCATGGAATAATGGCGCGTACTTCTTTTATGCTATAGGCTGTAAAAATGTATCGATCGTCGATATTAACTTGAATTTCTATTTCAGATAAGAACATCTTAACTCAAGCCCTGAACGATATCAGTTTTTTCCAATTATTTCCCAAGGTGAGTTATTTTCACGTTTAAATCAGGTCTGAGGCGAAGCCGGACCTACATTAAAATTCAAACGCTCCCAAGTCAGTTTAAAACGAATTTACTTGACGACTAACTTTGAGGCAATTTGGAGGATATCAAGATAAGGGGGCCATTTGAAAGGCTCCGCTATGCCATATTTCCGTGGCGAAATCGCATGTTGGCATTAATCGGTCCCATTATATTGCGTTGTCGGATTTAACAGTAAAGGGCAAATAATATGCTTTAAGATGTACAAATTGGCCGGTTACACGAATACCGGAAATATTTCTAATAAAATTTTAAGTTTACATAGCGGAAGGAGGGGCGTAAATTTCGCGTACCTATTTTTTATTTTAGTGTTTTGCAAAATGTATCTATAGCGTGTAATTTTGAATGGGGATGATAGCTTGGCCTTGGGATAGTGGTCGACGCTGTAATTATGTATCTACCCAAAGATTCATTAACACTGCGATATGCTTTAGTTCATATATGGGCAACCCCCGACCCCCGGGACGGATCCGGCCCTCCACCAGCTTCAATTCGGCCCGCGAGAGATTCAGAAATTTCAAATAACGATATCAATTCAAATCGATAAATGATATTATTAAGCGTATGCAGTGGAACGCCACAGATCGAATCAGAAATAGTCGTTAGAAAGAGACAAACAGATAAACATTCGGGAAGCCGCCCGATGCGCTTGAAGCACTCTCGTACGATCGAGAGTATTTATTGGGGGTAATACATAAACCGCTCAGCGCGCGTGCCATCTCATTACTTCTTAACAACTAATAATAAGTTCGCATCGTATATTCGCGTACGGTNTAACTTGAATTTCTATTTCAGATAAGAACATCTTAACTCAAGCCCTGAACGATATCAGTTTTTTCCAATTATTTCCCAAGGTGAGTTATTTTCACGTTTAAATCAGGTCTGAGGCGAAGCCGGACCTATATTAAAATTCAAACGCTCCCAAGTCAGTTTAAAACGAATTTACTTGACGACTAACTTTGAGGCAATTTGGAGGATATCAAGATAAGGGGGCCATTTGAAAGGCTCCGCTATGCCATATTTCCGTGGCGAAATCGCATGTTGGCATTAATCGGTCCCATTATATTGCGTTGTCGGATTTAACAGTAAAGGGCAAATAATATGCTTTAAGATGTACAAATTGGCCGGTTACACGAATACCGGAAATATTTCTAATAAAATTTTAAGTTTACATAGCGGAAGGAGGGGCGTAAATTTCGCGTACCTATTTTTTATTTTAGTGTTTTGCAAAATGTATCTATAGCGTGTAATTTTGAATGGGGGTGATAGCTTGGCCTTGGGATAGTAGTCGACGGTGTGATTATGTATCTACCCAAAGGTTCATTAACACTGCGATATGCTTTAGTTCATATATGGGCAACCCCCGACCCCCGGGACGGATCCGGCCCTCCACCAGCTTCAATTCGGCCCGCGAGAGATTCAGAAATTTCAAATAACGATATCAATTCAAATCGATAAATGATATTATTAAGCGTATGCAGTGGAACGCCACAGATCGAATCAGAAATAGACGCTAGAAAGAGACAAATAGATGCGCTTGAAGCACTCTCGTAAGATCGAGAGTATTCTAGTTGCTTATTGGGGGTAATACATAAACCGCTCAGCGCGCGTGCCATCTCATTACTTCTTAACAACTAATAATAAGTTCGCATCGTATATTCGCGTACGGTCAAGAGTACGACCCGGGAAATATCCCAGCAAATTATATCAACATGTCTGGTTTAAAAAAGCGGAAAGTGGACACAGAATGTCGTCAATTCCAAGACAAATGGACTGATGAATGCTTTTTTATCTTGCGCAGTAGTAAACCTATATGTTTGTTGTGCAATGAAACAATTTCTGTTTTAAAAGAATACAATATGAAGCGGCATTACTCCAGCAAGCATTTCGCTCAATATAATTTACTCGGGCCAGTTAAGAAAGGATAAAATTAAAAAACACATTACCGATTTAGGGGAACAGCAACAAATGTTCCATTCACAAAAATCAAATCTAGACCGTGTTGTTAAAGCTAGTTTTATAATTAGTTCCAAAATAGCGAAATCATCGAAATCATTTTCTGAGGGACAGTTTGTTAAAGACTGCCTAACAGAAGTTGCAGAACTTTTGTATCCAGAAAAGAAGAAAGAGTTTGAGAAAGTAAGCTTATCGCGACATACTGTTGTTCGACGTATAGAGATGATGACTAGTGATAACAAAAAAACCTTGACCGATAGATTGGTTGGTTTTCAAGCATTTTCGATTGCTTTGGATGAGAGTACAGATTTATCTGACACAGCCCAGTTAGCTATTTTTATGCGAGGTGTTGATGAAGAATTTGCAGTGACAGAGGAATTACTGGCTTTACGGCCGCTCCAAGGGACCATTACTGGAAAAGATATTTTTGCCGAGGTGCAAAGTACTTTTGAGCAATATAGTTTGCAGTGGTGTAAATTACTTAGAGTGTGTACTGATGGTGCGCCTTCAATGGTCCATTCGACTGAAGAATGTTATGGATGTGGTAGTAAATACCATTATTTTCGTTACCATCGCCAGTTTAAAGCATTTTTGGATGAACTCTCTTCAGAACACGGTGATGTAACATATTATTGCGAAGTAAGGTGACTAAGCAAAGGTAAAATGCTAAAAAGGTTTTATGACCTTAGAAAAGAAATAGCTGATTTAATGGAAATGAAAGAGAAAACATTGCCGCAAATTTGTGATCCAACTTGGCTTTGTGACTTGGCATTCCTGGTAGACATCACAGGACACTTAAATGACCTGAACTTGAAGCTTCAAAAACAAGGCAATTAGTAAATCAGCTGTTCAGTCATCTTAAAGCTTTTCAAAACAAAATTCGCTTGTGGGAAACATAAATGAGAAGTAAAAACTGTTTTCATTTTTTAATATTATCCAGTCACGAAAACATTGAATACGGTCGCTATGCTGAAGAACTGGAACTACTGTCAGAGCAATTCACTGATCGATTTTCCGATTTTAAGAATATGGATAGCACTTTTAATATTTTTGCAAATCCTTGTAAGTGTAATGTGGAAGATGCTCCGCTTCACCTACAAAAAATGGTGTCGATCGAGCTTCAGGAAGACTCATATTTGAAGTCTAAATTTGATGATGTGGAACTAAGCGAATTTTACAGAACATACCTTTCCGAAGAAAAGTATCCACGGCTGAGAGCTTTCACACGACAAATCATTTGCACATTCGGAAGCACCTATAAATGTGAGCAGCTTTTTTCAATAATGAAAATTAATAAAAATAAGCATCTTACACGGCTTACAGATGTTAATTTAGAAAACACTTTGCGCCTATATACTACTGATATTGACCCCAATATTCATCATCTTGTTTCTCATCTTCAAACTCAACTATCTCATAAATTTTCATTTGATTTTTCTATCTTTTTTTTATTAATTTGCTTTTTATATGTTTGATTATGCTAGCTGGTGTCCAAGGTGCCCCACGTCTGGCTGCTCCTCTACGACCTCTACCACCGAGGATTCAAGCAGCGCGAAACGAAATACGTGGCCGTTGCTTCGAAACTTTTCGACTCAGTCGGACTGACATACGCCGAGAACGCCCTCTGGACGCAAAAAGTGAGACTAGCGGCGGCTGTATCCCGACTTCGCATCAAGCACAACGCTTTGTTGCTAAGCGAACTCCTTCCGCCTCATCTAAAGAATGAGAAGGTCACGGAACAAGCCAAAAATGGACCTGTGACATGTTGGGTCAATCTAAAGAAGATTAGGTAAGGAGAACGAAATGGTACACATAACTTGAAAGGAGCCAAATCCTCCTTTCTTGAAGAACAAAGCTTAAAGATGATATTCTTGCAGCTATATCCGCTGTTTGATTCTAGAGACATGTCCAAACTAGTTGAAGAAATAGAACAGAGCTTTGGCATAAAGTTGACGACTATACCGGGAAAATTTGACAAGACCTGCTTCAAATGGGACAGTCACTGCCCTCAGATCATCGCTTTCCACGCTTCCATGAGACCCAAATTAGCCAGAAGCTGCTTCATCAGAGACCACCTAATGATCATTCAGGTCATAACTCCAATTTAATCTTGAAGAATACTGACTAAGTTTGTGTTCCAGGACAAGTCATTCTGTTTGGGACCAGCCACTTTTGGCAAACTGGTTGCCGATTTGGAATTAACTGGCAGCGTCATCCAGACGCACGTGAATTCTCCCAGAACCACAGCCTACTTGGCAACGCTGTTATGTCAGAACGATAAGATCAAGAGGCTCATGGCTTTCAGTGCAGGTAAAAGGTAAAACTTTCCGCTCATATCTAACACTGATTTGAAAACTAATGAGACTGTTCAATCATAAAAATTAAATTTGCTCGTACTCCTTTCAGGAAAGAGGACTACGAAAGTTACTTTCAAGAACTGGGCGTTACCAATATCACGATCTTTTCCGACCGCCTCATAGACACCCCTCCTGATGCCAGTTACATGGAAGAAGTGGTTGCTGTTTTCGCTACACCACCCAACAGTTACTCAGCGGTGGTAGACCCAATAGATCTGGTAAACTATCCTTAACTTTAATAATCTAAGGTCCACTCTCTCAGTATACCATTCTTCTAATGCGGTTGATTTATAACCTCGTTTATAACAATCTTTATTTTCTAGGTGTGTAGTCGTGGTGGAGACCTATCCATGTTAGAGGTACTGACCGAGGCTGACGACACCAAAGAAGCTAGGAAAAGAATCGCCGGAGTACTGGAAGAACAAAATATGACTCTAAGATTTGCCATGTCGAGACCACAGGTAAAGGCCAAGACCAATATGATTCTGAGAAAAATACGTGGCCTTTTTAGATCCAGTTCGTGTTGTATGAAACGCATTCGCAGCTAGAGGAAGAAAATAACGTGATGGTGAACAAGGCTCTGAGAGAAATCAACAGGGTGGCCAAGCTGCACCACGCCACTTTGCAGGGAAAGATAGCTGCTCCTCAAATGACGGAAACGCAATCTGTAAGGGACGAAATGCAATAAAAAAAAAGAAATATATACATGAAAAAATTTTCGAAAGTTTGCCAATTACATTCGAGACGCAGTTCTAATCGAATTAGTCATTCTAGCGTATTAATTTATATGTATTGCTGAAAATCAGTCTAATGTCGATAACTTTTAGGAAAGGGAAATCAACAACAACGAAAATCTCCAACCTCCAGATGGATTATCGTTGTCTACAAAGGCGTCTTCGGAGGGTCAGCTTTCGCTCCAGAGCGTCGAGATCGAGCAAAACGTGCTTGAAGAGGTGCAGGTAGATGAACAAAATACAGTTTTCGTAACACTTGTTTTTCAAAAAAAACGACAAACTTTTAGGTACCAAAAACGGACATGTTCGATCACCCAGATTTGCCAACTTTATGCCCAAAAGACAAGTGCACAAATTTTGAAAAAGAGGGTTGCTTCTTGGCACTATTGCAGAGAAAGGTAAGCAGTGTATAGACGACTGGCTCCGTCTGAAGGTTTAGGCTCACTCTCACTTACTTTCTCTTTATATCTGCAGCCTTATGAAATACATTCAAATGCAAATATAATATCTAATGTAAAATATCTTGCAATGGTAATAAAAAAATTTTAAAGGCAAAATCCAACTTTGAAAGGAATTTGTTTAGACGAAATTTTTTTCTTAGGAAGTGATTCGGCTGGATGACAAATACATGATCCAAATGGCAGAAAATAGAGGTCTTTTTGGGAGTAATACCACGACGGGAACTGCCAAGTCGAGATCGAGCAGAGCGGCTAAGAAAAAGCAAGAGAAATCGCCAGAGAAGTCGCAGAGACATAGGAAGAAATTGAAGGAATCAGAGGTACATTTTTCGCTGATGTTTTGAAATGAACTTACTGCTTTGGTACCTTTAACTTGAAATAATCATCATTTGGCGGTTCAATTTAAGATTTTCCGCGTGCTACGCAATCAGCAGACAAGATAATGTATATTTTTACTAACACAAGGGCCAAGGGCAAACATTCATCACGTCCCATGGATAAAACGACATTTAAAAAAGACAAAATATTGGCTTGTTACGATTGTTTGTTTATTTGTAAAACAGAGAGTGCCTCGATTTTATTTCCGTAAAAACTAGTATACCTTGGAAGAGTTAGAAAAATTCTGAGAACTAGTTAAGACCATGAATGAGGCATCACGAAATATTAAGAGTGTTTGTGTATATTTTCATTGCCAGGCCTAAGAAGTTTCCCAGAATATTATCCAACTACTTTCTAAAATCATAAATTATTAAACATTTGGAAGCTTTCTAGTATATCGATAAATTCCGAGATAAATTCATTGGTTTCTATCCTTTCTCAATGAGATACAACATGGTATGGTACCTATTTATGGTTGGTTTATAAAAAAGAATTAGTCCTAACTTAGTCTTAGTCTTAGTATTAACCTTTACACTAATCTTAGTATTAGTCCTAAGAATAGGTACACGTTTATAAAAACAATGTGTGGTCCTAATTTTATTAAGATTAACCAATGAGCGATTCGACTACACGCATGGCTAGTAATATCACAGCATAATATTTGTTTAATATTCTGTGGTAATGTTATTTTATTTGTTTTGTTGATGAGTGAAAAGAAAAATATAACCTATTACTATGGTAATGGCGTAATGGCGACCACCATAGACAAAGACATGAGAGCACTATGCTACGAAATGCAATACTTGTGCATGCGCACTTCTCAGATCTTAGTCTTAATCCTAGAAAAATTAAAAGATGCGAACTTTCAAGGTCATGTCTTAAGACCTCCTTACGACTAGGGATTTTTATAAACCGGTACATTACATTCTGTACATTTAACTCTTTAAGACTAAGATTAAGGTTAAGTTACGGCTAAGTTAGGACTAATACTTTTTTATAAACCAACCATTAGAAAAGTTTCACAGAATAAAAAATGAAGTGTGTATGTATGCAACAATATCCCATAAGTACTTTGAGAAAAAAATTAAAGCAGAACTAAAATATAAAAAATTTCGCCTACACATAATCAGTTTTCTATTTTGAGAAACTTGTGATTTATTATTCAGAAATGGTACTCTATAGAAGAATAATAAGGCATGCTGGTTTTTACGTATTTAAAATCAGGTAATGGCAGATTTTGTTGCACGAACATTTCTGAATCCCCACATTTCTTTTGTCTCTTACAAACGTTGTGCCACCTATCCGGAAACACACAGGATACATTATGTATATGTTATATCCAAACGGTAATACTGACTGTCTTGTACAACTTCAGCAATCGGCTGCAAGAGTACAGTAAGTTGAATAGCCAATTGGCTATGTAAGTAGGTAGATACTTTAACATCTTAGTTGTTAGTCTTAACCTATTAGGTACGAATGAACCAAATATCAAATTCAGTCCATGGTACAGAGTGCTCAGTCAGGTCGTTTTTCTAGATCGAGCGCATAGCCGCTCCAACTCACACTTTCCTCAGGCATACCAAGCGAACCGAGGAAGTCGAGAGCTGCGAGAAGTCCACTTCTTCGGAAAACAGATTAACTCAGTACCATCGGTGGTGGACTGAAACGACCAGGCACATTCTGGCTCTCAAAGGCAGTTTGGTCAAGCAAAAAATCATACCCCCGGAAAAAATAAAACACGCGAACCCAACAGCGATAGTTAACAGCATGGCGTCCCAGAATTTGTACGACGTAGACGAAGTCGCCGCCAACAGCAACAAAAACATGCGATTTCCAGTCTTCCCAAAGCTGAAGCTACCCAGAAAAAGCGTGTACGAGAAGGTGCAGATCCCCCTGCACATCACTTCCGTAGACTTTCCCAGGCCAAGGAGCAATGCTAAAGGCGCTAATTATTGAAATTTATCCGTCTAAGAGTGCGCTGTGATACATTTTTCTTTACATAGCTTATACATACCTAATATAATTATATTTTTAGAGTAACAGGTTTTGATTTACCTTTTATAACGACTCCTAAATTCGATCATTTACTGTAACGGAAAACACAAAAATTCCCACAATTTTATTACTGATCCATTTTCAAGGGTGCTGATACTGAACAAAAATCTGAAGTCAGTTTTGTACGGTCGAATCTAGTTTTCCAGAAAAGATGTTCAAAATTGTACTTCACACAACACATAAATCTGATTAAGTACCACTTTTTCCACTATTTTAGCCCAAATTGGTAGTTGTTTGTAGTAAGTAGGTAAAGTACCGTCATATATTACTTTATTACTAGTCGCCTTATTTATGTACATAAACAGGGCTAGTATAAGTATATAGGATTACCATAGTACCGCAGTTACTGACCAGTGGCCATTGTCAATGTCGGGTAAAATCCCTATTGCCAACCTTGAAATATAATTTCCAATTTTCAATACATTTTTACTTAATTTTTGGACAATTCATTAAGCAATACCTCAATATTTCTATCTGTAATACTACGACAATTAAGTTTTATAATAAATAATAAATAAACAGCACAAATTGTAGTAGTTAGGATATTCTGTGATCTAGCAGATAATAGCTAAGACTAAAGTATTTTTTCTGGAAAACTGGATTGACCGCACAAATCAATGGATCAACTCGACCAACACAAACTTTTGAAAAATTCGTAGGTAACCAACTTCTAGTAAACAAAAATTGAAAGCATATTCAATAAAAATCGAAAGGTAATATGTAATTTTCTGAATCTTCTTGATAATTAAATATATTCTATTCTAGACTGACCTGGTTGAAATCTATCGCGACGTGCCCGAATATCCAAAGAAACATGAAAGTGTACCAAGTCCCGTGTCTACTTCGAGGAATATTTTGGGAATGATGACAAGCATGCATATCAGACAACTCGTGTCTCCCTTCTGCAAGTATGGAGATGCAGCTGTAAAGACTGGGTACAAACTTCCGTCGGATGTAGTCGATAAGATTATTACCGTTCCGAAAGAACTGATCGTTGAAAATCCATCTGAAGTAATTGAAAATGAGAACGTTGAAGTTCAAGAACAAAGCATACAGTCAATTGCAAGAAGGAGTAAGAGTCGTCGACGTACTTTAGATAACACGCGTGTCAAGAAAATGAAAAGTGGTTTGGTTTCCTCCGTCAAGTTGAAAAAGAAAAATATTAAGTTACAAGAATTATTATCTAGAATCTGCACTCCCACTGAATCGAGTTTGAGAAGATCTTGGACGCAGGTAAAATTTAATTTTCCCATAAAGATGGTCCGATAGACGGCATTGAATCTAATTGTTTTGTGTTGCAGGTTGCTCAATCGAGTTCGGAAAATGGTAAAAAAATATTCGAAACGAGAATTCGTGTTCCAAGACTTTAAATATTTTAATTCGTTCTTGATATTCCTGTATACTTCACTGCTTGAAACAAGAAATATTATATTTAGGAAACATGCAAAACTCTTTATTATTGTCGTTATAATTTGAATAAATGTTTTGACGGTTTACGTTGTATTTTTCAAGCACAATTCGAAATTGCGGAACACACTTAACTTATCTATCTGAACGTACCGCAATGTTCAATGCGACTACCATAGAAACTTATTAACAACTATATGCTCTATGGCGACTACGAAATTAATAATTGAGATTGAGATTTGAGGTTACGTTGAGCCAAACGAAGTGTGAACTATAAAATGTTTTATTTCAAATAATTTCACAAACTATGTCCTATTTATTTTTTACCATCCATTTATAGTAGTCTTAATTGTAAGATGTCTGTGTTTATTATAAGATCATCTCGCTGGTAAGTATTAGAAAGTTATCATGTTTAAAAAGAAAATCAGAATTATTCAATAAAACCAAATTATATGATCTCATAGAGGTGACCTATTTATCGATTCTATTAAAATATTAATAGGTGATACTGTTTTTCATTAAATTATTTATCAGAAATTACCAGGATCTGTATGTGTGTAAACAGGTTGTTTACATTTTATATAAACAACCATCTCTTTAAAATATGTATGTAGATTATTTTAAATATTAACTGCATATGTTCCATATTGAAGACAAATTAGAAAAAATCAGTAGTTACTTCCTATGATTGTCTATTTGCTAGTGGTGTAGTGTATTTATATTCAATAATAAAAAAATTGTCTAGAAGTTGTAAAAATATTTACCCAATATATTCTTAGTTGATGCTCACTGAAGGAATAAAAGTGGAAAATTTTCGCTTCATCATTTCCAGGGATTTATTGACAAAATTTAAGGGCAAGAACAATATTTTTAACTGCTCAAAGTTTTCAAATACTGATATAGAAATTATGAATTAAAATTTTTAATAAGTAAGACATTTTCACTTATCAGGCTACAGTAGTTATATTATAACATTGAACTTGTTTGAAATGTAAGGTCAAATAAATATTTCTGATAAATGGCAAATAATTAAAATATTTATGAAAAAACTAGAACTACTTGTTGCTGATAAGATTATATAAAAAATGAAATATTTTAAAATGTTACATGTACAATAATCATTAATCAGTTTAAAATATTCTGCCCTGGGCTTTTTTTTATTTATTTTTTATAGAGTAGATTTTTATGTAAAAATTAAAAAATGTGTAATGAAATAAATTCCTTTATATTGATGATGCCTTAAATATTTCTTTTAACTGTCCAATTTGTATATTTTAAATATTACTATTTACTGGTCTTTATGTATACAGTATACAACAAGATAAACTTATCAGGGCAATAACAGTAAGTTCTAGACGCAAATGCGTTGATCTAACAAAAAGGGTATTGCTGATAAGATAAAAAATCTAATTTCAGATATTTTAAACGTAAAAAATTGGTATTTTTTTGCAAGAAACATTAATGTTGTTTCTATTTAATACATTTAGAACAATGTCAATAAACGAAGAAGTTATACAAACATTTATAAGAATTTCGTTCTTGAAAGTAAATCAGGGATTTATTTTGAAAACAGAGTATGTACCTAATACACACTGATTTGTTATTGAAAGCATTTGCTGCTGCTTTAGAAAACAATACAATTGTATTAACTGTTTATGACAAAGAAATTATTTCAACTTCGAATTTATCACATTTTTACTACCCACATGAATAGTAATCTTTACTGGAACTTATTCACATACCCACATGGTAATAAAAATGATTATTAGTAAAATATCTTCGCAATATGCGATTTGACTATAAAAATATTGCTATAATAATATTTTAAGGCTTCTGAAAACTGGACGTCTCAGACAAAACTTGACAATATGGAGCAAAGTATCTACCAATGACGCAAGGCCCCCCCTAAACTTGGCATGTAACAGATATGTATCGACAAAAAACAAGAGCTCGTCTGGTAAGTTTCTTTGTTAGCGAGATAACAAGGTCAGTGATACTGATAACATATCCACTTCCCTATATAAGCTCGAACAGAACAAGGAAACCCTCTTATTTGGCAGATCAACTCTGAAAAAAATGTCAGAGGATTACAGGGAAGAGGAATATTTTCTGTATATAGATTTACTTTTTTTATTCAAAGGTCTGGCCTTTTGGGTGACGTGCTCTAGAATTTCCCCTAAATAAAGTACATTTTAGATATGAAGGCGGGGATCTGGAACAATGAACTAATCTCTTTTGTGATTTTCTGTCGATATAGGTGAGTCGGAATGGAGAGCGATCTTTACCCGGTTCTTACCGGTAGGGTTGTGTTTAGTAGCCGTGATGCAATGGAGGATGTACAGGAAGCGGAACGCCGATAAAGTTGCTAGGCAATGGGAGATTAACTGTTACTGTATGCTGCCGTTGAGGACGGTGTCCAGATGGTGGGGGTGGCTCGCAGGTAACCCTTGTTTTTTTAAATTTATAACGAAATAGAAGCGAAAACGTTGAATAAAAGGCAAATGCAAACAAAATGCTTTGCATCCGCAGACGAAGCATCTGTTTGTTTTTCGCATTTTTAGAAAGGATTACTCTTATCAGTTGTTATCACAAATTGTTGAAGTGTGTCGGGTTTATAATTTTGACCCCAAAATTCCACTTTTTTATTATCTTTATGGGATATTCGCACTGTATTATTTTTAGAAATTCAATAAAAAAAATTCGTATTCATATTTAGTTAAAACTAACTTAAAAATTATAATTTTACTGCAAGAAGATTTAAATTTTTTTATTATTTTATCGACTTTTTATTTAATATGATTATTTATTTATTTGTTTTATTAATTTATTAACAATTTTATATGTATGTTATATACAATGTCCTTATTTATAATTGTACACCATTACATGATAATTAAAAAAAAAACAATTAAAAGTTTTAATATTTTTTTAAGTGGAACTTGAGAATGTACTTATTTGGAAACTAATTTTCTCGACATTGCATATTCTGAGCCTGCTACGATTGTTTTAAAAATTGCATTAGCAATATTTTTTTATCAAAAATTTGATAAAAAAGCCTACAGGATATATACAATTTCAAAAATGTGACGTTCCTATTTAATTTATTTCGTTTGTGTTGCTTTAATTTTTCCCGAGTTAATATCGAAGAAAAACAAAAAAATGTAACAGGCCAAACCTAGAAATGTAAAATTATTTGGTGTTCTTAGATTTCGAGTTAAGAATTTGTTGGTGACTTTGTTCAAAAGTTACACCTAAAAAAATTGTAGGTCTTATAATTTGCAGTATTGAGTTGTTGTTTAGTTATACATATATTAAATTTGTTCCCTGTATGTCTTCTATTGTAAAGACGAGTACATTCTGAATGTGGGTAAAAACACAAAGAAAAACTTTTTTCTGAATTTTCTCAAGTTTGACACTACCCGATTACTGCATTCTCAAGAAAATTGGAGAATATTTGACATTTTAATTGATAATAAATTCTTAATTTTATAACATCTAGAATTCTAGAACATAAATTTGCAGGTAAGTTTATGCTATATTTTGAAATACAATTTTTTTGTACAGGCAGTTTGAAAATTGCACAATTTTATCAAATTTCATAAATCTGAAAATCTTGACTTCTTATATCACAGAATAAAGTTTTGTCTTTATTTGTGATTTTTCTTAAAAAATGTTTTTATAAAATTTTGTTCATAAAATTGTTGAAAAACCGTCATATCTTTTAGACAAAGAACTACCAGCATTCTTGAGACCACCCGTATACAAACTATATGCCAACACATTCGGTGTAAATATATCAGAAGCCTTAAACGAAGACCTCATGTCTTACCCGAGCTTAGCAGACTTCTTTGCTAGACCTCTGAAAGATGGCATCAGGCTGATAGATAGGAACAGTTGTTTGGTATCCCCGTGTGACGGGACGGTACTTCATTTCGGAACAGTCCACACAGAACAAGTGGAACAGGTGAAGTTGGCGATTTTTCGTTTAGTTTTAATTTGACAAATCGTTTTTTTTTAGGTAAAAGGTGTTACATATTCTCTAAAAGATTTTCTTGGTGAAAATTCGTGGAGGAATAACAGTAATAATAGTAATAAAGATTTTAGGACGTCTTTACTTCATCAGCCTCATGTGGGGAATACACTGTATCAGTGTGTGATATACTTGGCCCCCGGCGACTATCACAGGTAAGTTTTAAATCATTCTAAATCGTTTATTGATGTTGTTTGTAAAATTATTTTCTTCTATTTTATATGTTGTAAAGTTACAAAACTCCTTGGCATTGCATTAATTGTGGCACACTTTTATCTTTCAGTTAATACTGGGTTCTTCCGTTTGAAAGTTATGAACAGAAAGAGCGTTCTATGTTTTCATTTTCTTTTTTCTCAGATAACACACATCTGTATGAATGATTTTAAAGACATATCCACGTCCAAAAAGATTCGAGTACAGTCTTTCATCACGTGGGTGCCAAACAGAGACTGTTACGATAAAGGTTAAAGTTCCTTTTTTTTTTCTATTTATCTACTTTATGATACGGTAAATAACGTCATAATTATTATGATCTGCTTAAACTCACTTTTTCTGAGGACCCGTATATTGATTTTCCCATGAGATCAAAGTTTATCTGGCGGGACCAGGTCAAAATTTATCTCCGTGTGTGGCGGTTCTTTTTTTTTAATGCGTACACATTTTTTTTTCCCAGAAATTGTACTCTTGTCTATTAGATGATAGGGGTTAATAGGTTATTTATTTATTTATTTGCCAATTTAAAACAAACATGTTATTAAAATTGTTAGCAATAGATATCTCGGTTTTAATAATAGAAACGTTGAAAGCAATAATTATTAGTGAGTTTAAAAATTATTTACAGTGGGCCAGCTTACAAAAACTTAGAATCAAAAATAATCTTTAACTTGAATAAATGTAACACTAAATTTTGTAACTGAGCAACTATTAATTTGCGAAATGGCAACATCGCAGCATAATTCTGAGGTTCCTTCGTGTTTTTAAACTTGATGAAAAAAGTGTCTGGTAATTTCTTTAATGGACTATTTTTTCAATAAGAACTGAAAATTTGTTTATGTAGTTTTATATCAGGTTTTCGCCTTTAATTCTCTTAAATTCAGAAATTATTGTAAGCACTGAGTGGTAAAAAAAATTTTTGGTGAATTTAAATATCCGAATTGAAGTCAATATTAACAAAACAATTGTAGTATTCATTTATCGATACTATAAGTGAAGTTAATGTTTTTTCACATAAAAATTCTTAATAATTTAACACTCAGTATTGCAAACAAAATTTTAAAGATTTTAAGATGTCAAGATATGTTTGTAAGTTGATTTTGTTTCTCTATGGCCAAATTTAGCCAAAGACCAAAGACCCCACACATTTTTCATAAAATAATGTAATTTTCTCTTAAAAATCTAAAAATCTTGTCCTTATTTGGTAATTACAAAATTAAAAATTACTATTGGTAGGAGATTTAAATTAAATATGTAAAGAATTGAAATACGCCACTACGTTACACCTTTCTTTGTAAATATTCACAATACTTCACTGCACTTCGACTCCTAAAACATAACGGCTAATTATCACGAGCTTGCGAACAAGAATGAACACATGACAATTAGCGGCCAACGCCTAAGCGTTGATCAATCGTAAAAGTTGCATAACTTAAAACGACATTATCAAAAGTACATATATTTTTTCCCATAATAAAACATAATAAATTTCTAACACATTGTGAAAGAATTAATAAAAATACGTTGTTACACATAAAAATAACCATGATAGAAAGATCTTACTATTTCTGCATTCAACTTAGGATCGCTTTTTCAAGTGGTCTCCTTATAAATGGAATTCATTATTCTTCAGAATCGTATTAGAGGTTAGATATCTGTGGCATATCTATTTTTTTGGTGTCGAAGAACATTTTTTGATTACAGTTGATAGAATTTTTAGAAAAAATTTTAAATTTCGTATATAATTTTTGAAATTATTTTGTTAAATATTTTCCTTGGACTGACAAATAATTTGGTAGTCTGTGAAAAACGGAAACCGTTATAGAGTTAAAATTTTTCAAATCTATCTTGAAAAACCTGGAAATATTAGGCAATTATTTAATCAAAATTTAATCGAATCTTTATCAGCTTCTAAAAGCAGAAATAGTTTGACGATTTTTGATAAAATAATTATTGTAGCCTTTATATCCCATAATTTAACAAAAGTTTAATTTTTGAACTGAACTGAATTTTTCAGTTTCTTTTTTCAATTTTTCTGGGAAAAAAGTCATTATTTTTTTGCCAACCAGTTTTTCTGCAAATTTTAAATCTCTAGTTGGCAGTCTTAAAACGTTCAGTCACTAAAATACGATTACTTGAAATTATTAAATAATGCAATATTTCAAAGAAATAACCATGAAAAAAATCTTACTGTTTCTACATTTTCAATTTGCATGGGCAAAAAATGGAAATAATTGTTAAGATTCTTGCCTATAAGGCTAAATCTCTTTGGCATACCTAAATTTTTGGTACTGAAAAAAATTGTTTAACTTCATTTAAAGGAATTTTTTGAAAAAAAAATGTTTCAATCACTATTTAACTTTTAAAATAATGATACTTTGTTAAATATTTTCTTTGAACTTTCAAAAAATTTGCAAAATGGTGGTCTCTGAAAGACGGAAAACTGATATAGAGTTTACATTTTCGCAACATGGAAAAGTTTTCAAGTCTATCTGGAAAACTTGAAAATATTAGAGAATTGTGGTCAAAATTTGGTCCTGTCTGAAAGTTTGTGCTGCGAAGAGAAATGATGGTAAATGTTTAGAAATGTTAATGTTATTACAAGAACATGTTATAGAAACTATGACCAAATAAATGTGAATATTTTAAATAATATATAGGTATGTCCTTAGATACATAAATATATAAAAAATACTCTCTACTATGTTTGCGTTGTATTAAAATTTCTGTTATTTTTTGTTTATATTGTATGTTCATATTGTATTTTATTTTTACATCATGTTGTACCTTTTTTATCATCTCTCTTTTAGGCGGACACCTCTCTTGAGCGGACAAAAATAGTTCGACCGTTGATGTCCGCTTAAGGGAGGTTTCACTGTATTTTATTGATTGCATTGCGATGTGACAAACTTAGATCATTTACAAGACTACGATTAAACTACTTCTACAAATATATTAATAACATTTACGATAATTGCGGAAACAAAAATTTTTTTGGACGCTCTATCTCAAGAATTAAGCCGTCGCGGCCCCATGTTCATATAAATTTTTTATGTTAAAATTAGTCAAAGATTCGCCCTTTAAAGTTTGTATAAATACTTAATAAACACCCTGTATATGTTCAATAATTAGTGTACACTCTATAACATACATTTTAATATATGTATGTAAGTACAATTTTTCTGAATTTTTCCAATTTTTTTGGGAAAAAAACTTTTCGATCACGTTTTTCTGGAAATTTTGACCCTCTAGTTGGCAGTCTTAAAACGTTTTAAAAAATTTTTATTTATAAATTTTTAGAGGCCATGATCCATTGAACTGATGATCTCTATTTTAATACTAGTAATTTTTCGTAATAGTAACAATTTTTTTCGCTGCAGATTCCATTCTCCCGCCGACTGGAAACCCACCCATCGCCGCCACTTCTCGGGAGAATTACTCTCGGTAAACCCTAACATCGCGAAGTGGTTACCAGGTCTGTTCTGCTTAAACGAAAGGGCGGTATACCTGGGACACTGGGAACACGGGTTCTTCTCGTACACCGCAGTGGGTAGGTCGCTGGAACTCTATCGCTCGAACCTGACTTTAATACACGATATCGTTTTAGGTGCTACAAATGTAGGTACGGTCAAAGTGTACTTTGACAAAACTCTGCAGACCAACACGCGGAAGAAATCGAGCCGCTGTAAGGAGCTGTGTTTAGGGAATTCAATAGATCTCGGGAAAGGAGACCTCATGGGCGAATTTAGGATGGGATCTACCATAGTTTTAATTTTCGAGGCTCCTATACACTTCGATTTTGCCATTTTGCCCGGGGATAAGGTGAAAATGGGACAGAGTCTCGGTTGTGTCGATCACCAGATGTTTGTAGATAGAATAGATAAGGACAAAAGCAGTGTGAAGACAGCGAGCTAATCGCAATGCTCGTTTTTTATGAATAGGTATTAAATTATTGTGATATTATTTTTTAATAAAGATTTAATACAAAGTCATGTTTGTTTTTTATTGAATTTTACTAAATTACATGATAAACGAATCTGGTGACGAGTTAAAGCAGTTTTTAGAAATTTATTAAATTTTTTAATACTTTAGTAATAAAATTGTGGAAAATTATGAAAATCCCAACCGTTGTAAAATTATAAATACATTAGTTATTTGTATAAATGGATACATTTCAAAAAAAAATTCGGTGCTTTTTTAAATGTTACAAATTTTAGCGCCACATTTTATTTGTGCTTATGCAGCACAATATACACATTTTTTAGGAGTAGAGATGTCATGAAAAAAATAGAAAAATCACTAAATATCTGTTGGCACGACTGATTCTGCATCCAATAATTTCCACATCTCCCACTAGAGGTCGCCTGAGCCTGAAATTTTTTAGGTTATGTTCGAAACTGGTTGGTTATTGTAAACAAACAGTATAAACACAAACAATTTTCCTAAATTTTTATTCTAATTAAATGGATAAGATAAAGAACGTCAAACCAGGCTCCTCAAAAAATGTAGGTACGTATTTCTGAGTGATAAAAGTTATTGAGTCTAAAATATCACAAAATGTTTCAGACAATTTCCTAAACATTACACAGACTCTAAATGTAGACAACACATTTTTCAATGCTATCAATTTAGACGATTCCAGTTTGAATTCGAATACATCAAAAACATCTAAGGGCAAGTCGCAGCACTTATCAAAAAAGAAGAATGTTATTCGTAAGTACTGAATTAAAGTAATAACACTTTACTTACCTTTACACCTTTTAGAAAAAAAATCAAGTGGCTTTAGTTCCATGTCTTCATGTGAATCGTTTGAAATTGAAGAAGAAAGAATATCGAAGACGAAAAATCACAATTCTTTAAAACGACCTAATGAACAAACCCCGCCAGTCTTCCCAGAGAAAAAATTAAAATTCGACAAACAAACCACTCCACAAAGAATACACGACATAGAAATAAACGAATCAGGTGTAGACATTCTACAAGACACACTAGATGATCTAGACATAACGAAACTATTAGAAAAAAATGAAAATGAAGTGAACCATAAATCTAATTCTAGCAAATCAGAGTTCGATGATGCTTTTGCTAACTACTTAACCCAAAAGAATCCAGAAAAACCAGGACAGTTATGCGATGAAACGTACAATATCCCTTCGCAGTTTTTTAACACGCAAGTTATCAATCAAATCGATAAAGCACTAGTTGAAACTGCACATAATACCGAAAATAAAACTGAAAAAGCGGATCAAGAAGAATTCAAAGTGCCTCTGCTACAAAGTTTTAAAGAGAAATTAAGGACTACCAAATCAGGGGAGGCCACGTTAGATAAAGAAATAAGCGATAGATCTGCGCTCTTTGAAGATGAAAAAGTCACTACGCAGTACCGCGAGGAAGTTGATAACTTGTTCGAGCAAATCGAGCATTCGATATTCGCGATGGGCACGGAGCATTCGAGTAAAGTCCCTGACAAGCTCTTGGATATAATTTTCAGCGACGACTTAAAAGAAACCAGAAACAAAGAAAACTCTGAAGAAAACAGCGAGGATATTACATGGCCGGAAAATACGCTTTTGAACGGAATAAGTTTTAACGCAAGCTTTGGAAGCGTCATTAAGAAAGCTCTTATTAATAACGCAACTAAATCTGTGCATCCTCAAAAACCAGGAAATAGTACCCTGAATTTGACATTATCAGAGAAAAAGTCGCAATTCCGCAATTTGGGGCCATTCTACGGTTTGCCATTGAAAGTGAAAGATCTAATAAAACAGTATAAGGCAGTAGAAGAGCTTTACGGTAAGTAAAACGCATATTTGAGTTTAAAATTGTCAAGTATTTTTCATCTGTAGATTGGCAACATGAGTGTTTGAATTTACCTGCCATCGAAAGCAGAAAAAACTTGATCTACGCATTACCGACAAGCGGCGGAAAAACTCTAGTTGCAGAAATCCTTATGTTGCGTGAAATCATGTGTTACAAGCGGAACGCCATATTTATTCTGCCTTACGTTTCTATTGTTCAAGAAAAAGTAAGAGCAAACGTCTATCGATTTAAATTACTAACCTTACGATATTTTTAGGTGTGGGCCTTTTCACCGTTTGGAGTCGCCTTGGACTTTTTGGTGGAAGAATACGCATCGAATAAAGGCGTTTATCCACCAAGGAAGAGACGTAGAAAGAACTCGGTGTATATCGCGACCATTGAAAAGGCATTGGGGATCGTAAATAGTCTAATCGAGACGAATCGATTGCACGAAATTGGACTGATAGTTGTTGATGAACTCCACCTTATTGGAGAAAGTGGTAGAGGGGCTACTTTGGAGGCTTGTCTCACGAAGATAATGTTCTTAAAAGGTATGTGTCTAAATGTTGTGATTTTCTTATTTATATAATTTTAAATGGGGACCTCTTTTTCAGAGGTGATAGTTTGTGTTCCCCACAATACTGGTCTGAAATAATGTTTTTTAAGGGGTTACACCACTGTAAAATTTTCAAAAATTCGTTTTTTTGCTTAAAAGGTAGTTTGAACCTTGTAGAATATGAGGCAAAAGGTTTTATACATGCGTGTTTTAATTTTGCACTTTTCTTGAAGCGTGTCGGGCGTCTCTCATACAGCTACCTGCACTATGAACATACTTGTTCGGAAGGTATCGCCTATTGATTTATAACTTCTCTAATACACTCATAGATGTCGTTAGGGAGTATATGTGTACAATTCAGTCAAAATTAAAACAATTTTTTATGTTTTCATGTCTAAAACTCATTTTAAAACTTTAAACACGTTTTTCACGAAACACGCTTTTTCAAAACGGCACGCACCATAACTCCAACAATTTTCAATATTTTCTTTTTTATTTTAACCACATATTTAAAACATTTTGAAGAAAAACATATACGGATTTTTCGATAAGTTAATTTAAACAATTGTTATAAACAAATACCTAACTGCCCTTTTTTCATTAAAAATTTAACTTGACAATTTTGCAAAAAAAAACAATATTTTTACAATCCCGACATGTTTCTCTAGCTATACTCATGACTAGTTACAAATCAAATGAATCATGATTATTATAGTAAAAATCGAAAAAATCGCCAAAAATGGGGTTAAAAAACATTACTTTTTAGGGAATTTTTTGGAGTCTTTAAATTGGGTATAGAACCTTCATACTTGGCTGAAGAAAACTTCATCATCACACCAAATTTCATCAAAATCGGTTCTATAGATTTTGCATAATTTTACAAATTTTCAAAATTTTGACCAGCAAAAACCAAGACCCTTAGATACTTGAAAATTTAATCACGTATAGAAGGGCTCTCAAGCTTTCAAACGCTTTTTGAAAAATTAGAATCCGTCAATTAGAGAGCTCTGGCGCTTGTTTAAAGATTGGTCGAATTTTTGTACTTATAAAAAAATTTAAAATAACTGAATTGAATATTCAAATCAAATTTTTTAAAGCAGGTTTTAAAAGTTATTAAGTTTAATGAATAAAATATTATTGATCTTTTATAATTAATTTATTCAGTCATTTATTTTGTGATTAAAGTATAATTAATTAATATAATTAATTAATAAATGAGAAATTAACTCATTATATTACTAATTTTAGACATATTTTTAAAATAATCCTTGTTTAAACAATTTTAGAATATTTAAATAAACTTGTTTTTGATCTTTGATAAACAGTATATAAGTTTATGCACTTACCTTTGATACAATAGAAAAATAAAGTTGATAATTAAAGGAAGTTTAAAGATAAATAATTATTGAACTGTTGAAAGACCAGTAATTATTAACGATAGGCATTTGAAAATACGCTAATTGTTTTTTTTTAATCGCAAGACATCGATCTAAAAGAAATCATCAAAATCGGACCACTAGAGCAAGGGTCGGCAACTGGCGGACCGCGGTCCAGGTCCGGATCGCGGAAGGTAAAATACTGGACCGCCAAAAATTTTTTGAAAGTATAAATTACTCAAATAAATTATTTAAAAAATGTTTTTTACGTTTAAGTGCCAATGTTATCATTTTTTCTAGTATTTTACAATTGTGTGAGTGTTTTGAGTTCTTAATGGTTAGTAAGCAGATTAAATTTGAGTCCAAATTAAAATAAAAAATAAGAAATATGAATTTTTTTCTGGACCTCGTTAAAAATTTTCAAAAGTATCCGGACCCCACCTAAAATTACTTGCCGACCCCTGCACTAGAGGCTGAGATATTAAAAATTTTTAAGCGCGTTGCGGTTTTGAACTCACCGATTCACCCGTACGATTTTCTTGAATTTCTCGCTTGCATAAATAACTTTGAACACGTTTTAAAGTAGGTTGCCAACGAAGATAATATTGCAAACTTAGATCTGATAAGTACTCGGAATACCAAAGGTATTTTTCGAAAAGTTGGCCCGGATGTCCCAGTACATTTAGTGTAAATGATGGTTAACTTTGATCGGCTATTACTACGTAACTAATTGACCAATCGATCTGTTTTTTTTTAAAGAAGTGTCTTTCTAATAACTTTTAAAACCTGCTTTAAAAAATTTGATTTGATTGAATATTCACAAAGTTATTCTAATTGTTTATAAGTACAAAAATTCGACCAATGTTTAAACAAGCGCCAGTTTAAACAAGCCTTCTATATGTGATTAAATTTTCAAGTATCTAAGGGTGCTGTGTAAAATTTTGAAAATTTGCAAATTGCAAAATTATTATAGAACCTATTTTGATGAAATTTGGTGTGATGATTCTACATAACATGAAATTTTCTTGAGCCAAGTTGAAGGTCCTATACCCAATTTAAAGACCCCAAAAAAAAATCCCTAAAAAGTAATGTTTTTTAACCCCATTTTTGGTAATTTTTTCGATTTTTACAATAATAATCATGATTCATTCGATTTGTAACTAGTCATATTTTGTGAAAAATTTAATTACAAACATTTTTGTCCTCTTCCAGTTTTGCCTAAAATCAACTCTTGAAAAGATACATAATTAAATAGAAAGAAAAATATGAAATTTTTTGAATTTTTTTAACATATTGTGCCGCCAAAAGTTAAGCCCACGTTTTCTTTATGCACATAGAAAAATTTTTATTTCTAGTGATATTTGAAAGCCAAAAACCCAAAAATCTCCGTGGATATACGATTCACCCAAATATGGACAGATACCGTCTGGACTATTTTTTATTACAACCACTAAAACAAAAACCGAAAAACAAAACCGCTACGTCTTGACCAACTTCAAAACCGACTATAATTGAAATATTTAATATCAAATTTGCATTATGTGAATATGAAAATAAATACAATTTTATTCATTTCTTGTAGCAAATATTCAAATAGTAGGTATGAGTGCAACGATAGGAAATTTGCCAGAGCTTTCGGAATTCCTAAATGCGGATGTCTACACGAAGAACTTTCGACCAATAGAGCTTGTAGAATACGTGAAATGTGGAAAAGAAATTTCGAGAATAAACTGGAACCACACCGACGAAGATAATCTGCTGGTTGAACCTAAAAGGGTGCAATATAGGGTAACGCTTACATTTCTTATCTTGCAAAATATTTTCCTAACATCCTTGGATTCCAGTATTCCGATTCCCTTTTAAAAGTAGATCCCGACATGCTCGGAGGACTCGTGATGGACGTGGTGCCTAAAGGATCATGTTTGATATTTTGCGCGTCGAAGAAAAACTGCGAAAACGTTGCGAATCTGTTGTGCAGGCTGTGCAAACCGTACGTTTCATAAAATATGATTGAATTTTTTTTTAAACGCTTCACTTTCTAGGGAATTGAGAAACTATAAGAAAGCTGAAAAGGTGCAAGTTATACAAGCTTTAAAAAACGAGGCGGGCGACTTATGCAATATTTTGAAAGTCTCTGTGCAGTACGGGATAGCATATCACCACTCCGGTAAGTTACGGTTACTTACAATAGATGGCTATCAATGAAAAACGATTTTATATTTTTGGACGTTTATTTACATGTTAGAAAAAAGCAACAAAGTGAGTAGATAAAAATATTTTCAGGACTGACAAGTGACGAAAGGAGAATTATAGAAGATAGTTTTAGGGCGGGGATTATTTATGTTATTTGTTGCACCTCTACTTTAGCGGCGGGTGTGAATTTGCCAGCAAGGAGAGTAAGTTATCAAGATGTCCATTTTTTATAGCCGCACGGTTAGGATTTTTGTTATCGTAACAAATATAAGGTCAGTTTGGGGAATTTAATGGTGAATGACTTGCGGAAGAGAAATTTGGCCTCTCATTTTTCATTTTGAAGTAGTCAACCGGAAGCTGAAAATTTTGACTGAAAAAAAAGTAGATCAAGTGTCTCTCCAGCGAGTTATTCGGCTTTAAATTCCACAATTTGACTAACCCTATAAATCTTGAGATAACAGAGATCTCAATGGTTAGATTCGAAACGGGAATACCTTCTATGTATAAACTCGACAAAAAAATTAAAGGATCAGAAAAATTTCCAAATTTTTTTAGTGATTTTTGAGGCTATAACTTCGTGAATAATGGTTGTATTGAGTAAAAAAAAAAGAAGCGTCTTGAAGCGTAAAGATTGTACTTTTGAAATCTTGAGGCATAAAATTTTTTTGGGCATCACTCAGTGTTATAAGAAATAATTCAAAGCAAAAATTTTACAATTTTTTTTTTTTCAAAATTGCCCACGGGCTCCGAAAATTTTTAGTATTTCATGATCGTGCAGCGATCAAAAGGTGGGTTTTAGAAACCTGAATCACTTCAAAGGCCTTTTGCTGTTTGAGAAAAAAATTTTTTCACACGCCATTAATTTGAAAAAGTACAAAAAATTACTTTTTTTGCTGTTTTGGAAAATCAACAACTACTTTGCAAATATTGCGAAAAGTACCAATGTTTGTATTTTTTTTTAGCTCAATACAGGGTGAGTCATTAGTAATGGTACACAGCTTAATGGCCATATTGTTAACGTCAAAATATAGTGATTGAGCCAAACATGCCTTAATCAATTATTGCTCCTTTTCGTTCTACAGGGTGAAAAAATATTTTCATTTTCTGTCTATATTTTAAGTATGTATGGACCGATTGTTTTGAAAATTTGTAGTTTTACGTTTTTTGAGGAGGCAAATACGAATATGCAAACAGTATTGGGGTCACGTCTAGAGGGCGCTAGTTTTACTGTACTGTATTTTACAATTTTGAATTTTTTAACTACAAATTATTGAACTACGTTCAATTCTAAATAAAAAAGGTGTACTAGTTTCAAATCGATAAACTAAATTTTTGAGATTCAGCGGGAATTAAATTAGAAAATTAGCACGTCTTAAGGTACCAAGCCTGAATTAAGAATTAAGACAAACATTACAGCAATTAAAGATTTTATTATGCATATCTTAACAAATTATTAACTACCAGCAACTTCAATGCGCTTTCTTAGCCTTTTATTAAGATATCCTCCTCTAAAAAATAACGACAAGGAAAAAAACTACTTCTTAATCAAATTGAGTAGAAAACAATATGGTATTGTAGTGACAGCTGTCAATTTATGATGTCCATGCCTACTACTTTGGAAAAAATAATTTCTAATTTAATTCCCGTCAAATCTCAAAAACTTAAAATGTCTGTATTTCGAAAACAGTTGAGTTTATCGATTTGTAACAAGTATACCTTTTTTATTTAGAATTGAACGCAGTTCAACAATTTCTAGTAAAAAAATTCAAAATTGTAAAATATAAAAAGTTAAGACATATTTTTACATTGACAGGACAGTACGACTAGTGCCCCCTAGACGTGACTCCAACACTATTTGCATATTCCTATTTGCCACCTCAAAAAACGTAAAACTACAAATTTTCAAAACAATCGGTCCATACATACTTACAATATAGATAAAAAAAGAAAATATTTTTTCTACTGTAACACCCTGTAGAACAACAATGAACAAAATTGATTAAGGCATCTTTAGCTCAATCGCTATATTTTGACATTAACAATCTGCCAGTAAGCTGTATACCATTATTAATGACTCACCCTGTATATGCCATGAATTTTAAAATTGATCGGTCGTACCATTTTCCTTTCCTGAATCGTCAGTTTTATAAAAAATTAAAGGAGCAAGTTTATTGCTCGAATCAAATTGCTAAACATTAATTGCGTTTATTGCTAAACATCAATTTTTTGCGTTATTTTGCTCACAATTTCACGTTAAATACTCGTCAAATATTGAAAAAAAAATTCTAAATTTTTAAATTTTTCGCCCAAAGAATCTGTGATTAATAGCTCGACCTACAACACCCTGTATAGCCCGATCGTTGGAAATCTGAGCTGAAATTTCTGAATAGGTTATACTGAGGTCTCCCTACATCGGAAAGGACTTCATAAATCTGTCCAGGTACAAGCAGATGGTCGGTAGAGCAGGTAGAACGGGTCTTGGCGAGACCGGCGACAGCATTCTTATCGCTCAAGAGCCGGATTTGCCCAAAATAAAGGAACTGCTGTTGTCCCCGATGAACCAAGCCTTGTCAGGAATGCACATATTGGAAGGAAAAGGCCTCAGGTATAGAATATTAGCTCAGAAGTTATATTTTCGTGTGAGGGAGGGGACAGGATATTATTATTTTGCAAACCGCATTGACTATTTTCATCTTACGTTGTAACACTTCTTCCAGACACTTACTACTAAGCTGTATCAGCTTAGGAATTGCGAATACTAGGGTGGAACTGCAAGCGGTTGCCTCCAGGACCCTACTTGCCACTCAAAGCGACAAATTGGAGGTCAACATCAAGCATTTAACGGATAAAGTCATCAGGAATCTGTTTAAACTGGGCGCCCTACAGGAATCTTGCGGTTTACAGAAGAAAGATAGTTCCTCGGGGTTGTGCGACGTTTCAGTAAAGATGGATGTTTCCACAGCTAACGTATGTATAGTGGTTATGTATTCGTTAGAGATGCTTAGTATTTTGTTACAGTTCGAATCTCAGAATACGCCCGTTGGCAATAAAGAAGGGGAGAAATCCACCGCCAAGAAGAAAGTGGTAGTGTTAACGAATGAAACTAAGATGGTTGTTAGCGAGCTAGGATGTGCCGCCATTAAAGGTACAGTTTAGTAGATGTTTTTATAGCAAATGTTTTATGATGTATTTGATAGAAATAAGCTTTTAACATGCTCTTGTTGTTCTCAGGCTAGACTCTGTGGGGGCGGATGTGCTGTCAAAACCCCTAGGCCCACCCTAATGTTTATTCTAGTTCTTGTTTTTGGTTCTAAGCTCGGTACAGACATAACCACTCCTCAGACGATGGTGGTCCTCTCAGAAGTTACCACAGAACGTCACAGAAGACCGCCATTGCTGAAGAGCGGTTAAAACCAAAAACAAAAATCAGAATGAACATCAGGGTGGGCCCAGGCGTTCTGATAGTAGGTCCACCGCCACAGAGCCTAGCCCAAGAACAACGGTAGGTCAAAGATTGTATTGCATTACGAAACTGACGAAACTTTAACAAAATATTGGTAACAAAGTAACAACACCTATATAGAACTGTTTAATATCTTTTTCTCCCTAAATAACTTAGTTTTTATCAGAGCAACAAAATTGGGCACATTTTAGTAATTTTATTTCTTTTTATAACATGACTATACAACAAAATTGGCTAACAGATCTCGCTTTTTATAATTTTATTCTTCAGGCTTTTCAAATTACAATATAATTTTTACAGATTTTCAGAAAGCTTTTGATAGAGTATATTTTAAAAATGTGTGTTCTTATTGGGTGTCCTACATTACATTGAACATATTTATATTTATTTAAAAGATATAAGATACAGTTTGATTCAGAACTTATCAAAAAAAAAAATTTTGGATTTACGAATACAATTTTGTAAAGAAATAATCAAAAACGTAGTTAGAAAATAATTTAAAAATACATTTCTGCACGCCACTGGAAACTGATCCACTGTAAAACCCGACCTCATATAATGCGACAGCCATGGTGACAAAGTGTGATAAAAACAGACAAAAACTTGAAAGAATTCCGCAAGGAAAGAAATAAATAGAATTTTATAGCATCCCACTGCTTTTGCCGCTATTGTTTTTATTAATTAATAAAATTAATTTGCGTTTTTAAATAATAAAATAATTTGACATACCTCATGTTACAACTGTTCAAAATTTTGTCTACCGACGTGTAAACACATTTGGGTCTGTCTGACTCAGTTTCTACGAACTAACACAAATGTTGTCTTGTCTCACCATAACACAAATCCTTCACCATAATACAAATGTCTTGTTTCACCATAAATTAAAACAATATCAATCAACTCCAAGTTGCTATACATGCAAGCCATTTTTGACACTAACTACTAAAAAAACTATTGTAAACACTATCGCAACGACGATTGTAAAATCGGATTTCAGTATTCGGAGTTGCTGGACTATGAACTATTGCAAGACAACATTAACGATGTTTTGAATTGGAGTTTTAATACTTATAAGAAAATGTTCTGCAAATGGTAAATTCTGTGAAAAATCTTGGAATGACCATTGATACAACGAAACTATCGTACCAACGGGATATGTATTGATAAGATTGTTAGAACCCTGTGATTGTTTTAAATCATTAGAATTCATAATGGGAGAAACTAAAAAAAACATCAATTGTTGTATTGTTAAAATTATTTGCAATTTACCACTTTTAGTTATGTCTTGATTAATAAACCATCTCGTCAATTTATAATATTGACATTTTTCAGTTCTCAGAAGTAAATTTCGTAAAATCCATTGAAATATTTTTAATTATAGTTATGTATCTTCATTAGCCTATTTTGTTTGTTCTTTATTACATGTTTTAGATTGTATATCGGGTGTTCTCAAAGTTGAGTCATTTACTTCAACAGCTGGTAGAACTCGTAAAAAAAAGTCGATTTACCAAAAATCATTTATATAAAAGTTGCCAAATAAAGCAATTTATTAACAATTATTATTTTAATAAATTAAAATTTAAAAACATATATGGTAAACAAATGGTAACAATTTTTGTAGAACAGGATTTTTATAACTCTCTTCTTCTGCAACTTTTATATAAACGATTTTTGGTATATCGACTTTTTTTACGAGTTCTACCAGCTGTTAAAATAAATAACACAACTTTGAGAACGCCCTGTATATACTTTATATATTCTATCTACAGGCTGTTTCAATTCAAGTGAATCAAACTTTAACCACAAATAGAACTCAATAAATAATTCAAAATGGCGTAGGAATAGGTAGTAAAGCGGGATTTTTTTTACCCCAACTTCTACACCAATGACCTAATAATCATTTGGGATTAATTTTTAGATTTCGTGGAGAATTCTAAGGTATAGTTTATCATTTTACCAAAAAAGTATATTTAAGGCATTTTTTTGTATACCGTGCCAATTTCTCATGTGTTCTTTGTCACCATTCCCCAAAAAATTACAAAATAAATTAAAAATAGGGGTTGCACAATCGACCTAATATTCGTACTATATTTTGAACCAATTTTAGGGGGGTTGGAACTTTCGAGGGCACACTTGTTGTACGAGGATCTCTATCAGGCCCAGTCTAGCTTGGTGCTCCAAGGTCATTTGCACCTCCTTTATTTAGTTACACCCTACGAGACTTCTGAACAGATAAAGCCCAACATGCAAGTGTACTATGAAGTGGTAAGTAAATGTTAAAATCTTTGTAAGAAGAAATTATGATATTTAAATGCTGGTTGCTCTTTTTTTAATTATACATTTTTTAAATTTTTTTTTAATTTTCAAAATAGTGGCATTGAAATTCTGAGGTTCCTAATAACAGTATCTCCCAGCGTTTCCGGCACTGGTCGATATAATTGAAAACAAATTCACCGAATGTTTATCTTTATTTTGTTAAGTCGCCAAACCGCGACATCATTTGAGATATTTTACATAAATTCATGACTTCTTTCCTTAAAACCTAAAGCACCACTTTTAATACAGAAACTTTGTAATTGATTTTTCGTTCAACTTGAAAGAAAAACTAACCATTTTAGTTGACCCATCTAAAACCAAGCGAAATGAAAGTTGCCAAGATCTTAGGCATAAATGAATCGGTAGCTGTCAAAATGTTGTCTAACATCCCAATAAAGGTAATAATATTACTATTACAGCAAAGTAATTTTATATTAACGTACCTGTGTTGTCGTAGAATGTACCAGAGAGAGTTATCAATAGATTCTATGTGACGTTGATGCTTTACGATCTGTGGAACGAAATGCCAGTTTTTCAAGTCTCCGAAAAATATCAGGTTTGTGTGTTAGAATGATTGACCGTGAACTGTTTTCAAGGAAATCAGTTTTGTTGTAAAAAAAATAAAATTTATTAAAAATTTATGAATTAAATTTTGTGCAAAGAATTATTTCAACATTTGTTCAAATTGGCCTCCACCAACTTCTTGATTTGCAATGATACTGGAATTTTTGTAGAACCTCAATAATTAAAACATTATTAAACATTTACAACAAATCTGCAATTTTCTCAAAAATGGTTCAATTTAGATGTATGATCAAAAATTTACGATGATTGGATGAGACAAAAACTGAGTATGCATCTAAAAAAATTATTCGCCATTCCGTAAATACTTCTTACATATTTTTTATTTGATTTAAAACACTTCTAATGTTCTAACACTTGTGACGTACTAAACTACAGGCATATTAGACAAAATTTCTAGATGAAGAGTAGAGTAACCCTCTACTCTACACTAATGCAAACAATTAAAAGGTCAAAACAATTTCAGAAATTTTTAGGTGGAAAATGGTCGTATCGAGAATTAAAAAAAGCATTTTGAAGCTCTAAGATTCTAGTTTTTAGAGCTTTAGGTCGAACATTTTTAGAAGCTACGGTTATCATGCAATTAATAATAATAATAATAATAATAATACGTTTATTTTCAACAGGTTAAACACCCAATTACAGAAAGAAGAAATAGGGTGACAAAAAATTTTTGCAAATATTTTTTTTTTCTCCAGGGACTTGGAAAATTTTTTTTCATCTAAACCATAGCATGGACCAGTTAGCTTGTTTATTCACCTTCAATCTCCTTTGTTTTAAATTTTGATACGATATTTTTCATCGAAATATCGGACTTTTAATGATAAAGGATCCTTTTGTCTTCAATCATCGATATCTCGGTGACAAATGATCATACAGAGAATTAATTGAAGGGCAGTTTTGAAAACTGGAATAAATTTCCTATAACATGCTGGCAGCTTTTCCGAAAAATTTTTTTTTCATCTTTTACACGAATTAAAAAAAAACAGGAAAAAAAGGGTAATTTATGGTTTTTTCGAAAATTGACGGCTAAATTAGAAATATTCACGAAATGACTAATGTTAAGCATGACTCTTATAGTTCGATATACCCAGAAGAACCCTGTGAAGTTTCATCTCAATCTAGCGAACCGTTTGTTTGTTTCAAACAGTCAAACTTTTGAAAAAAATTAAAGACGTTTTTTGATCTTAAACACTATAATCATGATTAAAAAAAAAAATGTTCTGAGGTTTTCTCACATTTTCACCGCAAATAACGTTTAATTGATGAAAAAGAATTTTTTTTCAGAGAAAAAAGGTAGTTTTGGAAAAAACTGTTTTTTAAGTGATTACAGACTGCACGAAAATTAATTCGAAATTTGTCTCAAAAAACGATATGAATCTATTTTGGGTCATCAACTTTAAATTTAATTTAATTAAAAGTTGATGAACAAAACCATAGGACGGAAAAGCCAATTCGCGCTGCAAAAAAAAAATTGAAAATTTCAAAAATTTTCCGAATTTTTTTTTTCATCAATTTGCGGTAAAAATGTGAAAATATCTCAAAAAGAGAGTTTTTTTTTCCATTTTAGTCATGATTATGAAATGTTGAAGCTCCAAAAAAGTGTGACCCTTAATTTTTTTTCAAAAGATAGAAAACCGGAAAAAAGAAAAAACAGGAAAGATTTTGAAAAAAAATTAAGGGTCACACTTTTTTGGAGCTTCAACATTTCATAATCATGACTAAAATGGAAAAAAAAAACTCTCTTTTTGAGATATTTTCACATTTTTACCGCAAATTGATGAAAAAAAAAATTCGGAAAATTTTTGAAATTTTCAATTTTTTTTTTGCAGCGCGAATCGGCTTTTCCGTCCTATGGTTTTGTTCATCAACTTTTAATTAAATTAAATTTAAAGTTGATGACCCAAAATAGATTCATATCGTTTTTTGAGACAAATTTCGAATTAATTTTCGTGCAGTCTGTAATCACTTAAAAAACAGTTTTTTCCAAAACTACCTTTTTTCTCTGAAAAAAAATTCTTTTTCATCAATTAAACGTTATTTGCGGTAAAAATGTGAGAAAACCTCAGAACATTTTTTTTTTTAATCATGATTATAGTGTTTAAGATCAAAAAACGTCTTTAATTTTTTTCAAAAGTTTGACTGTTTGAAACAAACAAACGGTTCGCTAGATTGAGATGAAACTTCACAGGGTTCTTCTGGGTATATCGAACTATAAGAGTCATGCTTAACATTAGTCATTTCGTGAATATTTCTAATTTAGCCGTCAATTTTCTAAAATACCATAAATTACCCTTTTTTTCCTGTTTTTTTAAATTCTTGTAAAAAATAAAAAAAAAATCCGAAAAGTTGCAGCAGCATATTATAGGAATTTTATTCCAGTTTTTGAAACTGCCCTTCAATTCTCTGTACGACTATTTGTCTCCGATATATCGATGATTGAAGCCAAAAGGATACTTTTCTGTTGAAAATTTGATATTTCGATGAAAAATGGTTGTATCGAAATTAAAAAAAAAAGGAAATTGATGCTGAATAAACAAGCTATCTGGTCCATGCAATGGCTTAGCTGAAAAAAAATTTTCCAAGTCTGTACTCAGAGGAAAAAAAATTGTAAAATTTTTTTGTAATGCTATTTCTTAGAATTTCATAACAGTAGCTCCTAAAAATATTTGACCGAAAGGTCTAAAAACTAAAATCTTAGAGCATCAAAATACTTTTTTTTAATTCTGCTACGACCATTTTTCACCTAACCACAGCCTGTTAAATATTTCGGAAATTCTATTGACCCTTTGTTTGCATTAGTGTATGTCTATTAGCAAATAAAATGAGGACAGTAGTGTGAGATTTTAGTTGAACTTCCTATTAATAGATCGCGCTGTTAGAGCATGATTTAACACATCACAGCTGCCCACCAAATTAATTTTTATATGTTTTAAATCGACAGTTAAGTGATTTAATGCAGAAACAAAACAATGCAGAGCTAATATCCGACGAGGTAGCAAACACCATCTCATTCTTTACATGTTTACGAGATGAATTATCGAGACCTTTCCATTACTTCCAACAAGCCGAGTTTTTAATTTTTTCTTGCATCGCTGTTTACAAAAAAATGGTGCGTTTATATGTTTCTAGATCAACCGAGGAATTGTACAAAACCTCATGACAATTTCGGCCACATTTGCTTCTAACGTCGTGAACTTTTGCGAGAATCTAGAAGAGTTTTGGGCGTATTCCTACCTCTTGAAAGGAATGAGCCAACGGTTATCGCACTGTTGCGTCAAAGAGCTGCTGCCTCTGATGGAACTGCCTGCCGTCAAACAGGTAAAAGGAATTGTTGAACCGATACAAACCGAGACTAAATTGCGCTTTTCTTTTTAGAGCAGAGCAAAGCAGCTTTACAACGCGGGTTATAAAACTTTGCAGAGCATAGCAAAGGCGAACGCCGACGATTTGGTAGACAGTATAGATTTCATGTCCAGAAGGGTGGCCAATCAGTTAATCGCTGCGTCTAAGGTAAAAAAATGTTGATATAAAATCGTAAATTATTAATTTTTTTTTTTATGTAGATGTTACTACTCGAAAGAGTCGAAAACCTTCGGGAGGAAGCCGAGGACGTTCTAGACGGGGTGGAAAACCCAAAACAACTGCTCAACTTATCGTCGTATGGCCACCTCTGATATCTGTTATTAAAAGTGCCTAACGTTGAAATAATATTCCTTATTTGTTGTAATTATTTATTTTATCGTTTTTTGTACAAACATGGAAGTAAACTTATTGTAGGTAACTTCTTCTTATCCTTGATGTTGCTCACCTTTTTGAAGTCGATAAAACAGAACAAATTGTGAGACAGATCTTTCCAAACTTTCTTGAAACCAAAATATTGAATTCCTTCTATGAAACTGTCGCAGTTGCCGAATCTGCTCTCCACCTCTGCAATTTTCATTATCCCCCTAAAATAATGGGATTAGTTTGAGATTCAGTGGTAAACTGCGGGCGAGATATAACCTATATGTGCCACTGTTTCTCAATGCTTACCGACACAAAGCATTGCTGATAGAGAGTGACCTACTAATATGTGGGTGCTATGAAAGCATGACTTGTTTTGCATTATGCCAAATAAAATTTTTAACTGGCGATATTGCGGGAAATAATTACTCTGGGCTACACCAAACCAGACTATGTCCGGTGGTTCTACTGACGAATGATCAGTTTTTTACTAGCTATTTGGGGTGTAATTTAATGCTGGGCAGGCCTGCAGCTGGCAGAGTATTTGATTTCCACAATAGCTTCAATAATAAATTGTTACAAAAATTTTCGTCAGGATTTGAAGTGATCAAAGTACCAAGAATTTGTCATTTAAAAATACCATGTAAAGTTGATTTAAATTTCTTTTTTGATAAAAAGTTGATAGCACTGTGTATAACTGTTAATTTCGATAATCTATCTAAATAGTCCAGTATACAACGGTAAAAATAGGGTATTACCACCAAATTCTTGACACACTCACTGAATTTCATGAAAATTGGTGAGTAAGCTCAATTCATCCTCCTTTACAAAAGTTACATATCCTTATTGTTTTTAGGGGGTGAAAATTACTCCTTCTTGCAAAAAACGTAAAAACGATAGATTTAAGTGTTATATCAATAGAATAAGCATTCTTTTGTTTTGAATAATAATTTTTGATTTGTAGAAACATTTCAACTCTTAAAATCCACCCTTTAAAAAAAACAGAAATTACTTTCGCGGCTCTGAAATGTTTTGACGGAGCAATAATGAAGAATTGAATATTTTTTACCGTTTATGAAATAATACATGATTTATTGCAACGTTTCAACCCTTAACAACCACCCTTATTGCAGAAAATAAGCAAAAAATGTTTGTTCACTTCATAGCATTTATAATGAATGAAAGACTCGTCACTGTTTATATTACTGATGATTCATTGCAACGTTTCAACCTTTAAAAAACAACCCTTAATGAGGAATTGAAGAATTTTTACATGTTTCAAAACACTCAACGTATGTGTGTTTGTGCGTGCATTACGCCTCGGAAACTATCGGAAAGCCATTTACACGATCCGACAATTTTCGCTGAATAATACAATTCGTTTTTTCACAATAACTTTTTAATTTTTAATATTTTTCATCACTCCAAAAAGCAATTTGCAGGGAATTGCAAGAGCTACAAATCAACCTTTATAGTTGAAGAGTCTTGAACTCTTCGTTTTCGAGATTTTTAGGTTTTAAGGGCTCAAAGGTGGTCCTTCCATGCAAATGCAAACTAAAAAACGTAATATCTCAGTTAATTTTTGCTCTACAGAAAAATTTAAAGAGCAAAAATATAAAAAAAAACCTTTAATTTTGAACTCTTGCATTTTTCACATATCTTGTTTAGTTTTTGAGTCATTTCGAAATAAAGGAAATTTTTTTAAAATGAAAATTTTTTTTTTCGTTATTTCACTGTTTTTTAAATTTAGGTATTCTAAACCGGTCAAACTTGCAGAGCCTATTATTAGTACCTAAATAGAGTCAACTGTACATGGATTACGCTTAGTTTCTATTTTTATGGTTCAGCCATAGATTTTATTGTTGATTTTTTCTCCAAAAAAATGAGATGACCATTTTATTTACATCATAACTCCGCGAGTTTTTGAGCTACGAAATTTTTTCAAAAAGCATTTTAAAGGTCTTTCCAAGCACTTTAAGAAAGGTTATATTCATTTTCTTCGAAAAATTAGTTCTTTCGCCATTATTTTACGGTAAAAGGTTCGATTTTACTTTCCGAAAAATAAACAATCACCTTTAGAGTGTGATAACTCAGTTATTATTACATCTACAGTAATCAACAAAAAATGAATCGATTCGTTATTTCAAAAGCTTTATTTTTGCTTTATATGGGTTTTTCGATAAAACGCAAGGATTTCCAGTTATTTATAAAAAATGGTTGAAAAACATGCACATTTTAGATGAAAAATCAACATTTTCAATCACAAATAACTCGGAAAATACAAATTTTTGGAAAAAACGTTATAGAGCATTTTTTGCTTAGAATTCATCCCTCTATTGATTTTTGCGATTAAAATGGGTGCCTTCATTGCCACCTTCAGGGTGAAAGCACACATCGGCACAATGTAACTTTTGTTTCATGAGCAATTTTCTACTTACTGTTAAAATTTCATGTCAATCGGTGCATGTGTCAAGAATTCGGACCTAAAAACCGTCATATACTGAGCTAAAAGTGTGTTTCCCGATTTTTACTACAGAAAATGTTATTGAACAGAGTTTGCCGAAAATTTTGTGGTACAAATGGAATTTCTTGTGCTGAATCGTTGAAATGTGGGGTAAGATGTACAGTAATCCAGTTTTATCGAAAACTCAAGCAAACGAATGGTACAAAGCATACAAACATGGTTGAGAAGTGGTTGATGATTTGCCACGTTCTGGTCTTCCTTCGACGTCTTCAATTGAAGAAAACATCGATAACGTGAAGAAAATGGTGCTTGCAAACAGTCATTGTAGTTTGAGAGAGCTGGCATATGAAACGCGTCACAGCATGGCTGATTCCAAAAGAACTGAATTTTGAAAGAGAATATTGCAAAACATGTTGCTGAAGACATGCTTAGATGAGCTAATTCGGATTCTACATTTATGTAAAGCATCATAACGGGTGACAAGACATGGGTCAACGAGTTTGACATGCAAACAAGCCAACAAACTTTGGAATGGCTCCTTTCTAATGAGCCGAAACCAAAAAAAAAATGACGTTAAAATCGATCAAAAATCAAAGTCACGACTGTTTTCTTTGACTATCTTGTGTTGTTCACACAGAATTCTTTCTGGTTGGAGAAACAGTCAACAAAGAATATTATCTGGGCGTTATAGGACGGGAGCTAGCGCACATGGTTGTGGCGTCATCGAAAAATGTCTGGCATTTTGAGGTTTGAAAAAGTTAAGATAGTTAATGAAAATAAGAGTGGTTTTAAGGAGGTTCGATACTGAAAAAAAAAATGGTAAGAAAGTTTTCAAAATCATTGAAATCTGTTAATAAATATTCCAACTGCCTTGTGTAAAAATATCAGATCAGATCGTGTTTGCGATATTATAAAATGTTATTCATTTTTAAATGCCAGACAAGTTGGCCGGTTCCAAAATTTATAAATAAATAAAACGGGGGTGGAAAAATTTATAAAAATTTCAATTTGTTTTTGTCTGGCATTTTGCATTTAAATGCGCTTATAAACACAACATACGAATGCCAGACAAGTTGAGGCGTTCGAAAATGTATAAATGAATTAAAAAGTTACAAAAAAATGAACGAAAACTTGGTTTTCTTTTTTTTTCTAATTTAAAAGATTTATTTTCCTCTGGCATTTTGCATTTCTATTGAAAATACATATTTATACTTCAGGTTAAAACGTCAGACAGGTTGGGTTGTTCGAAAATTAAAAAAAAAGTTAAATTAAATAGTTGTAAAAAAATTTATGAAAACTTCAGTGTCTTTTTTTTGTCCGGCAATTCGTTTTTTAATAAAAAATACATTTTCAAACTCAAATTAAAAATGCTAGACAAGTTGGGCTGTTCGAAAATATATAAATAAATAAAGTTGTAAAAAAACAATTTCTCATTTTTTTTCGACTTTTTCCCTTTATATTATAAGCTGTAATTACTCGGGAAACATACTCAAGATATTATTTCCGGTGTAAAATTTCCTACTGAATCTGATGCTGTAGATTTAGGATTTACGTAGATTTCTGGTACCAAAGAACACTATTTTGACTCATTTTATAAATACTTTTTAGAATGTTTAAAATAGAGTAAAAAAATATGAGAACTAATAATAGATATGTTTAAAAAAAAAACAATGGTATTAATTAGAAAAATGACCTGAAGCATTTAAGTGAAATCTTGAATCACTCACCCCAATTTCAGCACCCTGTTTGCTTCCAGCAAGTAATCGTGAATATTGGTACCCATTAGAGACAAACAAAAAACCACTACGTCGATGCTAGCCTCCTTTAATGGGACTTTTGCCATATCACAAGCTATGATGATAGGATGTATAGCTACAAGATCAAAGGAATGTACTTTTTGTGGTACAGATTTAGCCAGTTTGGCTTCGCCACATCCAAAGTCTGCCACTATATGAGTTTTGGGCCTGAAAAATACCTTTTAGAGAGACATATTTGACAGTTGTTGTTCACATACATTTTTTTAATGGCTTTAATGATTATATCTAAAGGGTTCATTGGCCAGGCTTTTACTTGTTGCCGGTAACCTTCGTGGTACGCCAGAAAAGCTTCGGGATCACTCTTGAATATCCTCTGAGCCTCTTTGCTGTCTGTAGTGTAGATCTGTTCGTTGAGAAATCTGAACCGAGCCGCTTTCAATTTTTCCATCATTTTCTGTCTCAGGGTCATAACAGGTTTGGGTTTGCTTTCCCTTTTCTGCACTTGGGTTAAAATAGTCTTTAATTTCTCTTGTAGTTGTATTTTTTTGGCTATTCTCAGAGATTCGGGAATGTTTATATCACTGTCGATTTTCTCCTTTTCCCGTGTCTTTGTCAGTTTATCTTTCCGACTAGTTGTGGGTTTTTTTATGTCATCAACGGGTTCTTTCTTAATTTTCTGCATTTGCAAGTTCTCGAAACTGTCTACGATTTTTTTTTCGATGGCTCTGTTCAACAACATTTGTTTTCTCGCTGCTTTCTCCAACTTTCTTTTCAGTTTCTTCTGTTTTTTCTTTTCTTTTAACAATTCCTTGGATAGTTTGTCGGAATTACTATTTAGACTGTTAAGTTCGGAACTGTATTTCTTCAACATTTTCTTCTGCTTTTTGGTTACTTCACCTTCGGAATCTTCAGAATCACTAGCTCTCGACTTTTTGCATCTTTTCCTCAACTTTTCTCTTTTTGAAGCTTCAAAGTTTTCTCTGGGCATTTCGCCTCTATTTTTCTGAGCCTTGCCCAGCTCAATTTTCGTTTGTACAGTTATAACATTTAAATCATTAGATTTTAGATCTCTGAACTGTTTCTTAAACAGTTTTTCTAGTTTCTTCTGGTTTCTGTCATCTTTAGCAACAACTAATCGATCTCTCTTTTTCCTATTTAAGGATTCCTAAAATATAATCCAACAGAGAATTTGTGAAAAATCAATTGATCGAATGCACCACTAAAAATGGCCCTGAGCTTCTAAAGACTTTATCAGATTCAAATTGTATCGTGAACAACTAATCTGATTTTAAAAATCATTGTAATTTCTATATCTGCCAACTAAATCAAGGAAAGTCTACTTTATCGTTCTGATCAAAATGATTTTGGATTTATATCTGTTAATAATTTAGAAACACAGTTAAAATGTCTTTCTTAGCAACAACCAAGGAATAAACCTATAATTTAAAAAAGATTGCAAGAAAATCAACTTTGAAAATGGGATTCATTTTTAGTGGTGCGTTAATTCTAATGAGAAGCATAGATTACAATTTATTGTAAACAAAAACAGAAATACGAGCTTTATTTTAGGAAACTTTAATGAACAATTAACTTAAAATATTTTACAAAGCATACCGAAAAAACTAGAAAATATAATCGAAAACTTTTTTAATAGGTTGTCCCATTGGTCTTTCCTGACTCTTTTGCTCATTCTCATAGTATTCCTTCTGCTTATTCCTAAATTCGCGCAGCGGGTCTTCATACTGTTTGTAAAATTTCAGTACATCCCGAACATCGTCTATCTCGGTGTGGGCGATAGTCTTTAGGAAAGACGTCAAATCCACTAAAGCACTATCATCGTCTTCACCTCGCCACCTCTGGATATTCAAATGATTGTCCGGATGAAACTTGACAGAGTCGGAATTCCAGTCCACCACGATCACCTTCTTTAAATCCCTGTTCAGCTTGTCGAGGTTCTTAATGTGATGACCTTCAACGAAGTGCGTCGAATCCCTCACCAGCTTGTAAGAAATTAAATTTTTCTGATCCAAAGCCTCTATGACGGGAAAAATAGTAATACCTGGTTCCGCAGTGAACACAACAATTTCATAGAGTCCCACGAGGTTTTCCAGCATATAGTCTAAACCAGGACGTTTCTTAAATCTCCAACCTGTCTTGTAGGTCCAATCGGGATGTGCCAAAACATCGGTGAATTCCAAAACGAGAGTATATGGGGGTTGGTAGTAAGGATAAGATACAGGATCCGGTAATAATTTATCCCGTGACGGTTCCTGGATGAAAACTGTAAAATCTTCTATTTGTCTTAATCCTCGTAAGAAATATTGCTTCCAAATAGGGTACTTAGAAAACTCGTCAACTAACGTCTCACCTTCTGTATTTATTTTTGGACTACCATACTCATATATTAAATAAGTACCAAGTAAAGTAGCTGAGATTCCCATACCCAGCAAAGTGTATTTAAGTGAGCTCGTAGAGGGTTTTTTATCTTCCGGAGTGACATCATCAGTTGTAGTAAAAGATTTTTCTTGAAAAGCCTTCTCTATCACTGTTACTTTTTGAGGATTCTCTATAGTAACTTTTTGTGGAATATTCAGCAATGAACTAGTTGTTAAACCTATTTTGGAGAACAAAATGCCCGTTGCTGAAGCACCACAAATCACTCTTCCTCCAGCGAAAATTGACGAATGGTTTTTAAACATGTGCCTCACACTACTCCATGCCATTTTGTACAGTTTTTTATATATTCTAGGAAATACAATCAACAAGATGATATGGAACGACAAATGTACAATAACATGAATTTTATGAATACGTTCAACACTTTTTTTTGACACAAACAATTGCTACTTTAAATTAATCAGTTTGACTAAACTTTTGCGAATTCGACAATTTTCCATAACCTCACTTTATATTTCTAATTACCTGTTTAATATTTCTATGTAAAAAATTTACTTAGGATATGATCACTTGAATATGATCCCTTGTTTCTTCGCTTTTGACAAATGTTTTTAAAGAAAAAATTTTTTATAATAACGTAATAAGTTACTTGTCACACAGAAAATCAATTTTTTTATAGGACTAAAACTTAAAAAGCTTACCTTAAACATTTCCTGGAAAGAATTATCTTCTTCGGCATCTGAATCCCAATCCGGAGCTTTAAAAGTCTTCATTTCACAAAATGTTTATGTTTATTATAATTCTTCACTTTATTTGTATTCTTTAACAACCAGTGCCCGAGAACCAGGGCCCGAGAACTTATACTTGAATATATGGGGACACTGGGAACCACGTGACTTGAGATGGATATACAAGTTGGGGAAAGAGTATATAGATGTCGCCACAAAGATTTTGTAGAATAAATTTTGACAATTGCAATTATGAATCATTTCATGTCATTCATGTTGTTTATGTTAATTATGTTCAGTGTTACCAGATCTCCTGTTTTAACAGGAGATCTCCTGTTTTCACTTTCACTCTCCTGTTCTACTGTTTTCACTATGAGATCTCCTGTTTTTNTTTATCTAGGTTAACAACCCACAATGCGATGTGTTTTGTTCCAACTTTGATACGTTTGATACTTTACTTTGAACTAATTACTCTATTATGCATGGAACTAGGGAAAAGGTGTAAATACATACGACCACTTAAAGATTACATGAAGTATATTGCGAATATAATTCAGCTCTAGAAAACGGGCTTCAAAGTTCAAAGTTCTTTTAAGTTTAGAGATTTAGTTTTATAGTTTATTCAATTATAACATCTACATTCTTCAGCTTTGGATAAATATCCAAGGACGAATGTCATAAAAAAGAAAGAAGAAGAAGAAAACCTACAATAATTTGTGGTTCAGATCACATGCAGATTTGAATCTAGTTTTTTCATGATTAGTTATAAGGACGTTCGATACACCTCTTCCGGGGCGGGCGGTGCGGAGAGTATGCCTATGTTTATACACGGGACTCTTGTTGCAGTACCAACTTTTACATAAATTAATTTCAGCGAACTAAGTATGCTATTTAGAATGAAATTTATACAACACATATTAGCTTGCATATTTTTTTCGTGTTTAATACACGTCTGTTCACTTTTTATTTGAATAAAAGTGTCTATTGCCATAGCGTGGTGGTAAAAGTTGGGTCAACTGTCATTACTGTCAACTTTGCGCGAATTCCGTAAACATGAATGAACAACCAAGGTACAAAGGAAAAGTAATGACTGAAAAGTAATATAAAATGAGTGTAAAAGAGAATGTGGATTGATGAGAATAAAATAAAATGTGCAAACCGAGAATCCATATGATAACTATCAAGAAGTTCAGTGTATGATAGTGAGACGTCGACTTGTCAAATTGAAGATTATGACATAACATCTATACTGTTCGTTTTGCAAAGAGATCCTTTCAATTTTTGTTTCAAATTGCTAGTATATTGCTTTAGATCACGAAAAATTTATTTAATATTAATTATTACTACATATATTTTCGACTGGAATAATTTTATAATCTATAATTGAGCTATTCAAATATAACGCATCAGTCGAAGCATTAAATACAGCGTACAGTGTTGCCATATTTCCTTTCATTGGATCAGATGTTTGTTCAAATTTGTCAAAACGTTATCTATTCATTCCATTATCTCAATAATTACATTGTAAGTGCATATTTTTATTGTTTTAAAATGTTTAGTAATATTTAATTCTTTAATTACAATTTTATTTTTCCGATCCTAACCATTTTTAAGAGCAATATTCACGTTTGATTAAAGTTTTTTCCCAACTTCCATAAGAGCCTGTGTAAAAGAGCATAATTTTTAAAATAATTTTTCAAAAAAACTACGTTGTCAATCGATCTGATATTTTTACACAAGTCAGTTTGCATATTTATTAACAGATTTCAATTGCTTTGAAAACGTTCTTACCATTTTTCTTTTGGTATCGAACCTCCTTAAACGGTCGAACTAGTCACTGTATCACGTGAGTGATTAACAGTTTAGTCATTGGTCAAATTATGAATTACGACGTTGTTGGGCGGGTCTGATGGTCCGATCAACACTAAGAGTCATTCCACACGACAGGCGTCCCATGGCCCGTACCATTGTACGCGTTACGCGTGCCATGACACGGGTCGCGTGAATACGCCTATTATATATTTTTTATTCATGTGACCGAATAGTGGAAATAAGGTGTGTTTATTTACATTCTTACGCCGGTTCCCGGCATAGATTAATACAGCAAGTTCCCAGTTGTAAACAAGATTTTTAAAATTGACTTCGTGCATTCATTGAAAATGTTTACACATTTGATATAAAATATCAATTTATAAAACAAAGTGAAAAGTGACAAAAATAATAGAGTTGACCTAATTATGTATAATTGAAAATATAAATAAACAGAACTTATTTCAACTATTCGGTCACATTAATAAAAAAATATAGTTAGGCGTATTCACAATGGCACGCGTACCATGATGGGCGATATTTTGTGTACTATTCCTCTATCTCTCATCGCTGAGGAAGAGTGGAGTGTTTTCTCCTCAGAGGAATAAGTTTACTTATTCCTCTGAGGTTTTCTCAGCTTGAAACAAGGTTCAAAAGATCTAAAGAGTCTAATTCAGTCACCTTGAGCTTGAGAGCGGTGGGTGTTGCGTTAGCCAATCACGTGCCTGCGTGAATACACTGAGTGCTACCTCCATGTAGTATATGGTCTAAGGGTCCGACCGTTCACTTAACGCAATCCAAACATGATCCAAACTTTTAAATTTAGCGAGGAATCTACACATACTAGTAATGGGCATAATCGACCAATTTTGATAATCGAGTTATCGGTAATCGAGTACTTCTAATAATCGAGTGATCACTCGAGATACGAGATATTGGTCGTTTTCATCCCAGCGGCGCACAAATATGTTTGTATTAGTCATATATTACTTATAAGCGTAGCTAAAAAAAAAAAGCTAACGCACTTCAAAGCCTAACCACTTTTTCGTTTTATTCTAAAAAAAAAGGTTACGCAATCAGTGACTATTTACAGTATGCACTAACATTTTGGGGTGCAACCGTAGGCTAATAATCACTCGAGTGGTGGGAGTAAACATCTCGAGATATCTCGAGTGATCTCAATAATCGAGTACCACTCGATTTTTCACTCGAAATCTCCCATCACTAACACATACTTCTATCCTATAGGATAGAAGTATGTGGGAATCTATTGTCAGTTACTTGTCTTTTTCTCATTCCAACGCAGGGAGACTAGTTCCAACGTATGAAAGAGAATAATGTATAATTTGATGTATGCGCTTTTTTCATTCATGAATTTAAAACTGACTCAAGTCCCATAGTGTGTCCATATGCTATGGAAGTGATATGAATTTCGAAAGGAACGGAAAGACTATTCGTTATTTGATTGGTCGCATTGGTCATTGGTCGTAAAAAGAAGTTTATTATCCGGTTTACGTGCGATGCCAGTGGGCCTTGCCTTGAGATTCTTGAGAAGAAGACGAAAGTGGAATTTCCTAACCATAAAAATAATTTATTAACAAATGTTTAGAATGGAAGTTTCTCAAGCAAATATTGAATTAAAAGATTTCCCAAACATTTGTCGAATTTGTCTCCAATCTGGAGAATTTAAATCCTCTCTCCAAACTAACATCTTTGATTCACACAAAACATGTACCGATACATTAAGAAACATAACAGGCATAGAGGTAAGTGGAGCGGCACATTTTAAAAATTCAGAGGGCAGATTTAATTTTTTTAGATGAGAAAAGATGATAAATTACCAACTAATATATGTGATACCTGTGTGAAACAACTAGATGATATAGAAATATTTATAAAGTTCTGCAAATGCAACGATAATTATCTCAGATCTTTATTAACTGCAGAGGATAAAGATACATTTCATGCATCTGACAACCTTCTTTATGACACTTTTGATGAAGACAGTTTTGATGAAATCGACAACGTAGCACTGTCGGAACGCAAAATTAAAGTTGAATCTGAACTTATAGACAAACCTCCAAAAGAGGAGGGTAAGTTAAATTTGAAAAGTGAATTCAAAAGTAGAAAACGAAAAGTAAATTTGAAGAAAACTGGTAAGCGCATTGAAGAGTGTGAATGCAAAATATGTGGAAAAAAATTTACTAGACGAGGAGGATTGAAACGCCATTCAAAAACTCATTTAGGTATCAAGCCATTTGAATGTGAAACTTGTGGTAAGACTTTTGTAGAGAAGGCCACATTAAATAGACACTGTTTAATACACACAGGTGAAAAACCATTTGAGTGTAACCTCTGTGGAAAAACGACGACTAGGAAAGATCAAATTCTGGAACACATTAATAAACACCATCCTAATGCTGTTAACTGCGATTTCGTTATTACAGAACATAAAAGAAGCGATACTGAGAAAAAAGACTTTCCTACTGAATATAAAAACAATTTTAAAAATGATCCAAGAAACGAAAAGGACATGAATGAACAGGGTAATACAATTAGAGGCAAAATTGAAAGTGGTGAGGAGCAAATTGATTTCAGCTTTGAAATGAACGAAGACGAAAGCACAAAAATTGGCGAGGGGCGACCTTTTAAAACTAAGAAGAGAATCGAAATTTGCCTGTGTAATCTTTGTGGGAAAGTGTTTAGACGAAAGGGGTACTTGAAAAACCATATGGCCATCCATGCCAAAATCAAACCCTTTGAATGCAAAATTTGCGGGAAAGGATTCACGCAGAGGCATGCCCTAACAAGACACAATTTAGTGCATACAAAGGAACGACCGTTTCAATGCAATCTCTGCGGGAAGACCTTTACCAGAAAGGAGATATTAATGGATCATTTAAAAAATCACGAAGAAGGAAGCAAACCTTATCTTTGTTTCCATTGCGGAAAGTGTTTTTCCAACAAGGACTATCTTAGCAAACACTTAAAATACTACTTGCCCGGTAAAGGTAAAAAGAAAACCAACTCGGAAGAGAAAAAGTGCATTTGTCCTCAGTGCGGAAAACAGTTACATTCAGTGTCTTACTTAAAGACGCATCTTCTGACACACACAGGAGAAAAACCGTATGAGTGCAACATATGTGGGAATAGGTTTACAGTTTTGAGGTCTTTGAATCACCACTTGAATATTCACAAAGGTGTAAAGCCGTATCAGTGCACGCAGTGTGACAAAGCCTTTCGAACGTCTGGTTCTCTGCGGAAACATATTTTACTTCACACGGGAGAAAGGCCTTTCAAGTGTACCAGCTGTGAAAAGGGTTTTATCAGACGCAGCCATTTGAAGAGGCATTTGAGGATACATTAGTTGGTCAAACGTCGATAATGTATGTTAAAAGAATGTTGCCAAATAAGCGAGAAATAAGACTTAATCCTTAATATTCCTGGTATTAGCATAGTATGTTTCTATAAATATAACCTGTGCATGTCTCACAGTTTCCTTTTTAAGTGACATACCCCTTACAACTTTTAAATGGATTGTGTGGTGTTAAATTTGGCATCCAATGGTAACAAAGGGGCCGTCGCACGGATCACGCTGCCTTTAACGGTCATTTCTTGATCGAATAGTTTCAAAAAAAAATTCAGCGTATAAAGGAAGTCTTCTACTTTACGAGCCCAACTTTATTACAAAATATTAAATAGAATACCCAGAATACCGTTTTTAAGAAAAACAATTATCTCGGCTCCTATTGATCGAATCGAGACGGTTTTTTTAAATTCATGTTTTTTTAAACACAATTTGATGCAATTGGTTTGATATCTGTGTATTAAAAAATCGCCGAGAAAAGGACCCTAGTTACCGTTTTTTGTTAATAACTTTTTAATTTGCTTCTTAAAAATCTGAAATTTACACAGACGTGAGATAGTGTAATAACCTTTCGATCCTGATTGATCTTGAGCAGAAGATATATGCACCCGCGTTTTCGACTTTATAATTTTGCAAATGGCCGCTATTTTGAAATTGGGAGAGTCCGGATTTCGGGTATTTGTTGAGCATCCCAACAGTTATCTTTTCCCGTAGTTTCATCGAATTTCAGTCAAATTTGTTCTTTTTATTTAATTCTGAAAATTTAGCACATTTTTTTTTCACTGCTAATTTTGCAATGTAAAAAAATTTTGCGAGCTTTCGCAAAAGCCTATGCTTGTAGCACATTTTCTCAGGAACAAAATCGATGAGTATACCTCATATCGATTAGAGGCTTATCTTCGGAGATATAAGCGAAAAACTGAAAAAAGAGCAATTATTTTTTTCTTTTGTAATAAACAGTATGACGCTCGGCCTCTACAAATACACAAATTTAGGCTTTTATTCTGTGTATTTTTTATTTAATTTTAAGCCCATAAAATTCGAGTTAAGCCCGATTTTTGAAACGGGCATGTGTTTGGTCTAATTCGCCCGGATTATAATTTTAATTAAAACTTTTGTACATTACTGAACCTATAATTCGAAAGAAAGATCATAAAAATTAAAGTAATTGTTTGTGAGAAAAATAAATTTGAAATTGTGGCCCATTGTTAGTGGTGTGTTAATTTCGATATGAAATTCATGTTTAAATTAGTAATAGCTAAAATAAACGAGATATTTCCTCCACAAGGATCCACTAACAATCGCTTGAGTTTTCTTAAACTCATGGCAGGCTACCAGTAGCCGTCACTCACGCTTCCCTATCGTTGAGTCTATCTGGTCTGTGCCTTTATTCTTTAATGTCTTTGACGACAACTCATATAAAAGTTATAATCTTTATTTTAATTATTTGTAAGAATTCCCTTCATTTTAGAATAAAAATTACTTTTAACAAAACATTTAAAAAAAAATTACTCTTATTTGCTCACAAAATATGAAAAGAATAGAAGGTAAGATGTCAATAATACAATTAAATGTTGCCGTTTTTTAAATTAATCGCTTTCAAGGTATAGATTCAAACTAATAATAAATTAAGGAATAAAAATGTTCTGTTATAATAAATATATTTTGTTTCAGACAAACACAAATTTTTCATAAGCCAACAAAATTTTCAATAAACAAAACATGGAATAAATATAGAAAATCATATGTTCTTTCTTCAGGTATGTATCCTTAGATGCTGGCTCAACTGATCCTTTCGAATGAAAGTTTTTTCACAAATATCACACTTAAACCGTCGTATGCCCTTATGAATCAAAAGATGTCTGTAAAAACTGGGCCTACGGAACCGTTTGCCGCAGTAGGGGCAAGGATAGGGTTTCTCCCCCCTATGAGCCATCTGATGAGTCTTCAGAGAGTCTTTTGTCAAATAGGTACCACCGCAAATCTCGCATTTGAACCGTTCCCCGGTATGGGTACGGACATGCACGCTCAAATTGGACACCTGCGTAAACTGCTTACCGCAAAAAGAACACAAGAACCTGCCTGGTGTTTTCACTCGCGATTTTGGTCTAGGAACTATTGGTTTTTGGTTGACGTCGTGTATGGCTGCATGCCTTCGTAAGTGGCTGGGAAAGAGGAAATATTTGCCGCACTCCGAGCAGGTGAGTCTGCGTTTTTCTTCGGAATTTTCGTCATGGACTTTCTTATGTCGTTGTAACAACGTGTTTAAATTAAAGGCTGCATCGCACTGGTCACACTTGAACTCTTTTATTTCTGTATGGCTGAGACAGTGACGTTTTAAAGCACTTTTTACAGGGAATATTTTGTGACATACGTCACATTCGTAGTCCTTTGCTCCGGCATGTACACGCATGTGACCCATCAGGTATCTTTTAGAACTAAATGTTTTTCCACAGAAGCTGCACGTTAGAGAATCCAAGCTGCTGCTGAACTCTGGGTTTATAATCTTTTCGTCGTGGGTCTTTATGTGGTTTTCCAAGTGGCTCTCACGGGTAAAAGGCTTGTTGCAAGTTGAACATGCGAATTTTCCATTATGAAGAAAATTGTGGCGCTCGAGTGAATTCTTTTGGGTAAATTTCTTATTGCACAAAGTGCAAGGGAAAAGTTTCATCCCCGTGTGAATGCGCAGATGTCTCTGCAAGTCGCTCTTTCTCGTGAAATATTTATTACAGTATATGCACTTGCACATGTCATTCCTTTTCTTTGTAATCCGATGATCTCTGCTCTCCCTTCTATGACTTTTAATATGACTCCTGAAGGAAACCAAACTAGCAAACACTTTTTCACATTCATTGCAGGGATATATTTTTTCTTTTTCATCTTTGAGATTTTTCTCCAGTGCAGCAATTTCAGGTGTATGATGTTCATCCTTGAGAATTTTCACGGTGATTAAATTTCCTTCTTTGTTTTCATCATTTTCTACTTTTACTTGAATTTCTTCTTCGTGCTGTTCTGTTTTAATTTCATCAGGATTGAGCTTAGTTTCAAGGCTTTTGTCGTTTTCTTGAATTAAAAGAGTTTTAAGTATAGCATCGTTACTTCTGCAAGTTTCAATGAAGCAACGAATGTAGTCTAACTTTTCGATACATGCTGCACATACGGATTTTGGAAGTTTATCGTTTGGTGTTACCTAATAAAATTTGAAACCGAGATAGTTAAATGTTCATGAGACGGGGGCCCACTTACTTTAATGCTGGTGATGCTTTTTAAATTTCGTACAAATTCTGGTATGGCAAACACAGCTTGTAATTCCTCTTTATTGAAACAAAGTCTACATATCTTGGAAAACTCTTCATATGAAACTACAGACTCGGCCATTCTTTCCTTACATACAAAAAATTTTAACTTTCATAAAAATTAAACATTTGCGTGCAGGTTATTTACCAAATGTCAAAAATGTGTGATCATTTGACCTACCAATAGTTTGAACATTTGAACTACCGTAGTTAACTATAGGATCAAAGGCGATTTCCCTTCGTAACGAGGCAATTCTACGGTCAATAAAAATTAAATGAATTATTATTTTGGTATTAACAATTGAGATAAACAGTTAATAAAGCTATAGCACTTCTTTTTAAAATAGATTTTATTTAACTACCAATATAAAATTTGAACTTAAATAAAATTACACAAGCCTTTATGTAAACTTAAAAATAAAAAAATAGAAGTACGTTTTGAAATTAAAAATAAATACGAAAATATTTAAGTAAATACAACATAATAGCCTTTATTGTTGAGGTTGCACACGTTCTCGGGCAAAACGGATGGGTGGCGCAGGTAGGTCTGGGTTGTCTGGAAAATACATCCCGACCAACACTATCGTGAAAATTCCCGTAATCAAAATTAATCCTACAGTAGCTGTAACTGTATACAAATGAGCATAAACATATCTAAAAAAAAAACGCAAGTTACATATATTTCTCTGCAAGAACCTTGCCTTTACCTGAAATACCACGCGGCTAACAAAATAAAGCTGATAAATGCAAATAAAAAATTCCCCAAATCCCAATCTCGGTTTTGGTTGTTGTTATTTATGTTATTGATACCAGCAGAGCTAGGAAATGAATAACCGTCCCTCGCTGTTTCTGAAGAGGCATTTTCGATTGCCTGTGCCCTCTTTTGGTGGATCAAACAGTGCACGACGCAGTTGTCGAAGAGGCCACAACTTTTTAGAGTTTGTGTGTCAGGGCGAAGCACCCTGCCGTTAAATATCAACCTTACTAGTTTGTTGGAAGATAATTCTGTCTGAAAATGTCTCCTAAAAGAACCATGTTTTACAATTTTAAGCGAATATTCAAGCTTTAGTTACTAATTAAAAATTTACCCACTTTTTAAAATCTCCCAACATCTCCTCTAACCTACCATCCACCAGTTTCAAATCGTCATTGATATATTTTAATTTAATAGTTATCGCAGGTTTATTATCGGAAGGTATACTACGTTCGTTATTCTCCGAGCTTTGTTCATTCCTATCATTCAAACTAGTCGACGTGGTATCCTGCTCTGCATAATTATGTTCCATTACGGTATGTTCACTGCTGTCTAATATCGTTTCTATTCTGTCTTGGTTCCGAGAAGGATCCGTGGTTTCGGAACCTGGGGATTCATCGTTACCATCTACAAACAAAAAGTAGCAAATTTACAGAGCATAACAATCTATATCATACCTCTATTTGTGCTAGTCCAGTTGTTATAAAATGCCAAACGCCTCTGTCTCAACACACAAGCGTCGGCATCCATCGTTTCGATTATATTTTGCTCCTCCCCACGATCCAAATTCTCAGGAGGGTCTGGGACAGGGGCACTCTCGTTACTGGTACTAGCCTCATGAGATATGTGATCACTAGGGACTGGTTCCGTGGTAGCCGACACGGTTATGGGAGGTTCTTCGACAATTGGAGGTACTATACTAGAGCCTGACGTAATATTTAATTAGTTTAGTACATTACACAGCAAGTGAGAAAAAACAGCTTACGTTTATTACATACGATATTTACTATTAATGGAATATTTAAAAAATAATCAGTGATGATAATACCTTAAATATATAAACAAGTTTTTAGTTAAGTGGTGATGGTACGTGGTTTGTTATGAAATCATTTCAATATCGAATCTGCTTAAAATTTATACTAAAATTAACTTACTCTTAAAATACTTTTCTTAAACTTTATATGCTAGTTTATTATACGGCATTACATATGACTGATTTATTAGTCAAGATTAATCTACCATGATTTGTAAGGATTTTATTTATATGTTCTATAAATACATTTCGCATCAAAATTAACGGTAAAAATGGATCCCAATTTTCTAGTTGATTTTCTTGTGAACTACTAATCTGATTTTAATGATCTTATGACCAAATTAACCATTTTTTACATGAACTTCATACAGTTTTACGTAGCACGTCATAAAAATGCATGAAGTAAAAGTTTAACTGAACCAATAAGGCATAAAAAACTATCAACAATTATTTAGATATAAATAAAACTTTGCCTTCCATGACCTTGCGCAATGAAAGCAGTGACATATACCTTCTGTGATGGTAACAGTTTCCGTGTGGTTGGTCAATCTTCGGTGAGCCCTGTGTCTCCTTCTTTCCAGCAACAGAACTGTCCTCACATGCCTCTGTTCAGATATATTGGTAGTCCACCAGGCTAGTGTAACTGAAACTCCAAAATGTCAAAACCTGCAGCCTTTTCCACACTTCACACTGTGCTCAACTTACCTATAATTACGGCGAGGAGAGCGATAAAAAAATGTGTCACCTCGTCGCCTATACCCTCGATTAGTGTCATGTTTGTTTAATGTTTACCTTGATAAACAAGAAACTTTACAAATAAGCCCAATTTGTTTACCACTGACGCACTTCGAATAGTTGCACTAAAGTTACACGATTATTATTTAAAACGATGTTTATAAATCGATTTTACGACATTTGCTCATGCAATAGCTGATTAAAAACACGTAAGTTTAATCAAATATTTATTAAATAAGTTGAACTTAGGAAGTAGACATTTATGAATAAAACAGCATGTTTATTTATCGACATAAATCATTGAGTTAACGAGGTGTGCGATAGATGTCGCAACAAACCAAATAACTTCAAAATATAAATATACAAAGTCAACGATAGATGGCACTTGGTATACTTATTACAATATTTTGAAATTCTTGAAAATACATATTTAAATAAATAGTAAAACAAGTAAAAAAGTAAAAAAAAATTAATATTTTCATTCATTCATTCATTTTCAAGAATGGGTTGTTATAACAAACATGTTTTTAGAAAAAAAAACAACCATCCAGGTTCCTAGAATGTTAAGTAATAAGTTGCGTCAGCGAGTTTAGGAGAGATTCTCCTGTGGTTAGGAGGGAACTTAACAATACCGCATCTAAATTGCTTATTTATCTTCTGATAAGACGAGATTAACTTGCCTTTATGCTTTAAATAGCTAGTTATGTAATGCGGGAACCTCGAATGCAACGCGGGGCGTAGGACTCCGAGTCTGAATAGCAGAACAGCTCTTCAAAATGTACACGACTGTCTATCCTAACTTCCTAACTATCCAGTCTAAGTACTCTAAGTAGTCACATCTAGGAATATGTGTATTGGAAACTTCTCCAATTATTAGTGAACATAGTGGATGGAAGGAATACTAATGTCATAAGCTCGTTTCGCAAATATCTGGAGAAATATTTAGAATTTTTTATATATACCGTGTTGAATGACGAATAGGGGCAAAAGAAATTTATGTCAGGGCCACTGTGTATATATACTTAAAATATTCTCCGTTATGACTGTGTGCTGTACATATTAAATTCCTGGCAATTAACTTGCAATTCAACATCTACATATAGGTATGTAGTAAAACGGACATTAAATGAATCGTGGATATAATTTCTGACCGTTTTTCGCCATATTATGTCAGGTAGATATAGGCGGAAGCGCGGAAAGTTAGTATCTCTCGGAATCAGTTCCTTGTTGCAAAGAATTTCGTAATCATCATAATAAGAATTCAAGGAAGTGGGCTCGTATTCAGAGGTAGAAAAAGAATTTATTTATTAGCTTTCTAATATTTACCGATTATATGGAATAGAGCATCTTGAAATTTATGTCTGATACCAGTTTTACATGACAATATTTTTTGTTTAGTTTTTGTTACGAGATTCTACTTTTCCTCAATATTGGGTAGTTATTATGTAAGTTCATTATTTATAGAATAAAATCGTCATCAATAAGTAGCATATAACGTGCATTCAATTAGACAATATCATTATTAAGAACTGTAAATATTAAAGGTCTAAGTATAGAACCTCGCGGAACTCCTGGAGCCTGAGCGATTTCAGCAGATTCGGCTCCTAAAACTTGAACAAAGTGAAATATATGAGTAAATAAGCAACAACATCAGTTTGTTTTCACCGACGAATATAAAAATTGCAGGACTTAATCGTGATCTATACCTATATACGTCCGACTTAATTAAAGTCCAGTAATTCTGTTGGTATCCGCTGCTAAGTCGTGTGAAACAATTAGCAAACAGAGCGCAGATAGAATCATTTTAATCATTATAGAAAGTTGCTGTAATTATGGGTACCATTTTAATTAAAGCCCAACAAAGACGCATTGTATAAGCGCAATTTATATGTTACGAGTTTGAAAATGTAATTTTGTAACGCAAATGTGAATGTCGCCTTGTTTGTATATACAGGGCGGCGGGGGCATTTTGGGACTTCAGGTTAGCTAATAGCTATACAATAAAAAAAATATTATTTTATCTAACATGTCGTTGCTTTTTGCCTTGTTGGCTAAAGGACTTTTTTCACTAGTCTTAGCCTCGTTTTTAATCAATAAAATACGTAAAATTTAAAGAGTAGGTATTAGTACTAGTTATTTTTTATTCTATAGTGTGAAGTTTTGCGTTTCTATTCAAGAATAATGAAAAAAGAAAACATTCAGAAATACAAAAGCATTCGCCTTTGTTAAAATTAGCTAAAAAGAAAAAGTATGCCAAAATGTTGACACTTACGATAAAGGGAAATAACTGTCTTGTAAGTCTTGTTCGTTGATTGGATACTGCAGCTGCCAGGAACGTTTCGTCGTTCTAAATATTGTTAGGTTAGGACAAATTGAAATTTTGTGGAAAAGCTCCATTTGTGGTGGAAAATATATATAGATTATTACATTCTATGCATGCGTTGCAAAGAAAACATTTACTGTTTCCCTCGTAAAAGAACAAATTACATAAATTCAAATTCGTCTTTATATCTGATAGAGTACGCTTATATAAAAACAACCTTGAAATCGATTTACACTCTCAATCTTCTCATTGTCATTGTGGAAATTGCAACGCGCTAAGCACTTCTACAAACAACAAACAAAGTCATTCTCACAGCCGGCTTATCTTTAACAATTGTGATTTATGATTTGCAATGCGGCAATGGGATAAAAATATCAACTTATGCCATTTAGTAAACGCCACTATCTGCTTATTTGTCATTTCATTACGAGTTACTGTTTAATATGGAAAGCAAATGCATTGCTAATTGCTATTGTAATGTTTTTAATAACATTGGGGGTTCATGAATTAATTGAATAATTTTTAGACGCCGTTGATAGGTGTCACAACGTATGTCTCATTGGCTATGCCACAGACTTTTAGAAGTCTGTGGGCTATGCTCACTGGCAACAATCCAGTCGAGTGCAACAAGAGATTTGAGATTTAAAAGTTAAGTTAAATAGTGTTGATAACAACTTAGTGACTTGACATCTGATTTCGTTTTTAACATGTAAAATAAATTCTGGTGCGGTTTTCTTCTCGTGTTCTTTTTATTTGTTGCGATTGCGAAGGTGCTAGGTTTATTATATGTTTGTGGTGCTAGGTGCTATTTAAACGACTTTTACTAGTTTTAGTAAGTATAAGAAAGAGATAAGAGATTGAGTTCTTTTAATTTAAGCCTTATTATTTAGCTATAATACTGTCAGCTATTGGTGATGAATGGTGATATTACTGATATTACTTGAGATAAGTTAATAGAAACAGTCTCATAAGGCCATGTCTTGAATACATTCATTGAAGTAATCAAGTATAACACTTGACTTTTTTATTCCTTTGGAAACAAGAATTTGTGACATTTAGAGAACAGAAATATCACAGTGACAAGAAACTGTGAGGGTGCTCCTAGAAATTTATACTTTGCAAAAGACCTAGAAATTTCTCTCAGACTATTTTTGTTGTCGCATAAAATACGTTTTCCAACTCTTAATTCATGTTTTTATAAAAATATCTTTAAGTTAATTAAACAATAAAAATAACTTAAAGTTTTTCTTGCCCAACTTATGACGGGCAATTAAAACCACAAACAACATATCAAACGTGCAATTAACAAAAACTAATTAAGTGCACCAGGAATGCCATGTTATGTGGTTAGTTAATAACATTAGAAATTAAAACACGAACACGCAACTAAAATTGCTTCGTTATCTAAAAATGATCAGCAGATAATTACGAAAATATTATACAACAGGCCTCTGGAGCATTCACAGTTAATGTTAACAGTATAATAATTAATTAATTACGAGTAAATTATGTTGATGGTTGTGATATATTATTTCACGTGAAATATTCAACACTCAAAAATAGTAATATTAAAAAATATCTTGTCATAAGGTAACATTTTAATTCTGTTTCCTAAATCCTAAATGTCAACTTTAGTCAATCGGGATAAAATTACATTTTTTCTCCCTTCAGTTTGTTACTTATTAATTTATTTAGATAAATTGCTTTAGTAACATGGGTATTTATTTAATTTATTTAATTCATACAACTTCTAAATTCTTTTGATGTCTGCCTTAGAACCAGATAAAATTGTCACAGAAAAGCATCTGAAACAGTGGCCCGAGTAGTATTTAAGATGTGGCAGATCTTTAAACGGAAGATTTCAAAAGAAATTATTAGACAGCTGCTGTTGTTTTTGGCGAGATAAAAATATGGGGTTAAAATTTTAGCATTCTCGTGTCTACTGTAATATCAGACGGATAATAATATTCAATTAGGGTTTTTACGTCGCCACTGTCGCCAGTCTATCAGACAGTCAGACTCTTGAAGGGCGGAGACCACATAAGGGCATACCGTTTTTGTTCTTTGTTGAAGTCTAATCAATACAGATGATGACACGAGTCTACCACTGCTTGGTATCATCGTCTGGTTGACCGTAAAAACAGCTGTCGCTGGTCCGCATATGATTCACTTTCCTCGGCTGATTTATTTACAAGGGTGTGGACAGGAAAATGGGGGTAATTTTCGGTTTAAGTGAAACATATGAGTTGTCAGTAGATAAGTAACTGCACACGCCCAAAATAAGTAGATAATTGGTTGGCAATAAGGTCATATGTTCTTGTACATACAGTACAAGATAGGTATTAACGCAGGGGTGTTGAAATATTGTTTTTGGTTGAACTTGTATTTCGTAATTTTTGTGCAAAACATAATATTGCGATTTACCGCGTCGGATGATGTATTTGTACACTGAAACTATTTTTCTAGCACTCAAAAGACAAATAGGTACGCAGAATCTGTTAATAATAAAATGATATCCTAACTATTTTTAAATAAAAAATAACGCTTAAAATTATGATTAGGAATTTAAATATTAGTAATAGTATTGTATAAGTAAATATTTACTTATACAACGGTAATAGCTGTGGTAATAGACTCTTTTAGTGTGATGTCACATATTTAGGCAACCCGCAACAATTTGTCATAGTTGAAATTGTACCTACAGACCGAATCTGACCCTTGTGTACTATTTACATAGATAGGTACTATAAACATTTATTTATTTTTACAAAGATTTGGAAATATTTAAAAACAACCAACACGTGTATCGTAAATGATATGTTATCGATATCATCATTAGCGTATTTTCTCTTGTTTTGTTTAATCTTGGCATTTTCTAGTTCTACTAAGTATTGTTATTGTTTTTCTTGGTGTCAGTGTGTTTATTGATATAATTATAA